TGCTGACAGAACCTCTTCGGCGCACTGTGGATCGAGTCAATAGGAGAGGTCAGACAAAATTTGGAAACTTTAAAAGCTTATAGCTCCGTTTATACAAAATTTTGAGGTTCTAAAAGTGGTTCCATTGGTTATCTCGTAGAAGTTTCTTCTAAAAACACCTCTTGAAATTTAAAATTAGACAAAATAGACATCAAAATTTGAAGTTTTAGTCAAAAATGTCACGTCCAATCTCTAAGTGACTCGATCCACCGTGCGCCGTACCGTTTCCAGCCTGTGTCGTTGATCGATGCCGTAGCTGTGGGTCAATAAGAGGATAAGGGGGCTTGTTACATGCATTTCCCCCTTTTTTTTCTCAGTGCCGGTCGCTCTTAAGTTTTAAATTTCTCACAACTAATGGAGCTTAACGCCCCAAAATGTTATTTTTTCTCTCTCCCCCCCCCCCCCCCCAAGCGGAAAATTAAAGCCGAATTCTCATCAACCAATCTTCTGTGGTTAATGATACATCAAATATGAATCTCCCAAACCACGCATCTCATTCACGGCGTTTTAAAATCTCCGCCATCATTTTATTTCTTCGAAGGATAACAGATCAACTTTTTGCTGTGAGGTTTTCCAAGAATTTTCTCCTAACGGAGAAGGAAAATCTGAGAAGGAAAAGCAATAAAAACTTTTAGTAGTTTTGTTTTTTTGAAATAAACTATGGCAGGAAGTCTTCAGCATCACAAACCGTGATGAGTAATTGGGAGTTTCCGTCGACATGTATGTTGAGATGGAACACTGGGAAGAATAAGAATCAAAACCCAAAGTACATTGATGTTATGTATTGACTGTACTGGATATACTTAGAAATTCCACGACTGCGAGCAGGCAATAACTTTAAAGTTAATATCTCCCGAAACTTTAAACATGCTGCTTGCCAATCAGTATCATTAAGTCTAAAAAGATTTCGCAGAACTCATAAAGTGTCCGCGTACTAAATCGCTCACGTCAAACTGACCGCGCCTAATTCACGAAATAATTCACGGCAAATTGACCGAAGAACGCGTTAACGAGTTTATCAAAGTTCCAAATAAGCTTTCGTGATTGAATTACGTTTGTCTGAATCAGCGAACAGTATGGACCGGTCACGGATGGTATTGGGCATAATTTATAGAGCCAGAACTACTTCATACGAAAGGTTCTTAAACAATTGGTTCAGAAAAAAAGGCGAGTTCCATCGTGTTTCTTTCTTAACAAAATAATTGATTGTCAGTCACAAGTTTTATCTTCGCGCACTGACGTTGAATGAATAAATTTCATTGGATGTTGATGGAAGTCATAAACAGTGCCTCTTCCATTCACGATGACTGATTTACCTACATTTCTCCCCGCAAGTGGGATGTGAGGGTAAACCGAGTTAGGAAGGGCGTGGGTGAATTAGAATCGCGGTTTCAATAAAAATAGCAAATGATTAAAGGTAGAGTTGACATTCAACCTCATCGTCGTTGGCCTGAAACAAGAATATTCGATGGAGGTGGAGATGACAGTTATCGTGCGATCGCAGTTGTCAACTTGAGTAAGATATATCCCTGCACTAAAGGGCCATGAAAGGTATAAGAGAAATTGAGTCTTTTGGAGTATATGCGGAAACTTGGAGCTCATTTTCATCGACTAAGTTCGGGGTGGCGCGGCGTCCTTATAAGCAAGGGAATCACTGCTTCTCCTACTTTTTTTCAATACATATAATGTAAAAGTAATTATTTTCAGAGTGATAATTTTAATGATAGCATAGAGAAAAGCACTGGGACAATTTTTTTTAAAAACAAAATATCACGCTTTTTCTTCACAATACGTAAAGTTTATTGTTGTCATTAGGTGGACGGTGCCCAAAAGCGCGACCCCCAAAGTTGAGGAAATAAAGCATAGCCTGATAGCGTAATGGGAGAATATCGATCATCCCAAAAGCGCCAATCCTTGAATAGAGGAAAACTTGAGATGGATTTTTGTTTAAAATTTTTAGTCCATAAAATTTTCATTGGGAAGGATATGACCAGAATAAGGGTTGTTAGCGGAAGAATTTGGGTTCAGTTTAATTTTATAAGCCTATCATATCGAAATCGAGGCAAAGTTGTCCGGGTTCATACAAATATAAAGCATATAGCTAAATATCTAACATAAAATCTTGTACTACTAGATTCTAGATTAGTAAATATAAAAATAGTTAGCGATCTCATAATTAAAATACTACAATATTCTGAAAGGAAGATTATTTTAGGACATGATTTTTGTTGCCTTGGAATTAAAATGAGGAACTTTAGGCCGGCTCCGCGGGTTGTTCTTTGAAAATTTCGCGAGTAAACGTCAAAAGTATTAAAAAAAAACAAAAAAAACCCCGGAAAAATCCGAGCAAAGGATGACTTGTTTATGCATGTTGAAGGAATCTCTACATCTTGCTCACAAACCTATTTTTTTTTTTTTTTTTTTTTTTTTTTTTTTTGCAATTTCGAAGAAGAACAATCAAAGCATTTTTCCGAAAACTGACAATGTTGTGATAAGAATTACTTGTAGTTCACTTCACTGGCACACTATACTCGTATAGGCGACGCTGAAATTTAGTTAAGGTGTAAGAGAAAGAAACAGTGCACTCTTAGTAGGTGTTGCATGCGACGTATTACCACTATCAGCGAATTTCATTATGACGCCTGGCATGGATGCAACTATTCGAGCTCTACGGATGTACGTGTTGCATACGCACGGAAATGAAGGCGTTTCGATTCTCCAGCTTGTCGGCTCCTGTTCAATCGTTTCTTGTGAAACTCGGTACTAGCGGGTATTTTTCAACGGGAGACTCGAATTTTCGGTCAGATTTTTAAAATTCCAAAATCCAAGATCGTGGCCGCGGCCAAAGTGGCGAAGATGTTGTCTCCTCACTATTATTATTTTTACAGTTACTCTAACTTCACCCTTGGATTACGACAAGTTTTTTTTTTTTATTTGCCAGATGTAATGGCAACGCCGCGTTGGGCGACAAAAGTACCAACATGGAATAAATATTATGTATGTGGAGGGATCGTAGTAATTTGCCGGCCACTAGGTGTTGCGACGCGGTGCGGCGCGGCGGAGCGGGCCGGGTCTTCCCTATAAATCTTGGTCGCAGATGTGTCCTCCTCTACTGGAGAGTGAACTTTTGACCTGGCTCGTCGCGCTGATCTCGGTTAAAATTATTATCCTCCTCGGGACACGCGGTGTGCGGCGGCTCGCGCTGCCAAAATCCCCCGGGACCTCTGTCCCGTTGAATCGGGGATCCGGGCGGTTTGGCAACACCGGGCGCGACGACGCATGCTAATAGAATCATGATTTCGAGGAAATGCTCTTTGTGAGCGGCGTGGGCTCGCGACGCTTTCCAGCATGATATGGGCGTATTTATGCTAAAACGAACTATATTATACTGGCAAACCCCGAGCACATAGTTCCTTTAGCATAAATGCGTCCATATTATGCTCCGCACTGATTTACTAGCTGCATAATAAACGACCGGCTGGCAAGCGTAATTTGTTTGGACCATTGACGCTCCGTCAGCCGCTTATATTGTAGATTTGTACACGCTCAATTTTACGTACCTGGAATAACGGCATATTTTCAATATTTCAATCCCTACCAGTGCCTATCTCTTGGCTCATCGGGCGACTCGGTACAAAGTTCAGATTTCCATCAACTCTTTCAGGGCTTCCATTCTGTTGAGCGCTCAGTCAATAGGGAGCATTGGCGGATCTAGCAAATTGGCAACATTGTTTTCCTCCGTTTAAACCTATGGGAAAGTATCGATTCTCGGAGGGGCCAGGTGCTCCGACAAGAATCGATCATTTAACACAGGTTTAAAGAAGGAGATCCGATGTTGCCAAATTGCTGGATCCGCCTCTGATAGGGAGCGCTTTTTGATTTTAACCTGCCTAGTGGCATTGCGTTCAAATGACACACCAACTCAACAACAAGATGGCGGAGAGAGGCCTCATGGATTATATTCATTTTGGACGCCTTTATTTTATGCTTCTGATGTCAAAGCACAGTTTATTTTAAAATATTTTATTAAAATATTTTACTACGCCTAAATTAATCTCGTTGATTTAACTTCAGTAGACTTGTAGTGGGTGTTGCTTTGATGAACATTTCATTTTTAATGATAAAGAACTTACATCGAATATTCCACAAAAAATAATTTCAATTGAGATGTTGCATGTGTGAGAGATTTGCTATTTGACTGTTGATTCTTATGTAAAAGTTTGCGAGAAACACGATGATGCCACTGGTTTTTTCTGAAATCAACTCCCAAGCTCACAAAAAGCTCTCAAGTTGAAGCCAAAATGGAGGGGATATCCCACGCTATCCTGAGAAACCCCGTCTACATCAAGACTAACTCCCCATGCAAAGATAGGGAGCAAATACATTGGCAGGGCTGCCACTTTATTTGGGGACTCTAAAACTGAAAACACGGCAACCCTGCTAATGTATTTGCTCCCTATCTTTGCATAGAGAGTTTGTCTTGATGTAGACGAAGACTCTCAGGATAGCGTGGGATATGCCCTCGATTTTGGCCTCAACTTGAGAGCTTTTTTTGAGCTTGGGAGTTGATTTCAGAGAAAACCAGTGGCACCATCGTGTTTCTAGCGAACTTTTATGTAGGAATCAACAGTCAAATCGCAAATTCCTCACACATGCAACATCCTCATTGTTTCCAAAATACTTCCTTTTAAATCAAATGAGCACTGCTTCATCTCTTTTTGAAACAACCGCAATTCTTTCGTAGAAAATACTTAATGGAAGTAGCTCTTTATTCAAACAGAAATTCTCTTCAGTGCGCGCAGGGCAAACGCGGAGCGGAGTGGGTATGGGAACCACCTTTGCCGGGCTGCCGCCTTGCCAACGGTTCGTCTCGGCAAACTTGAAACAACGAGTATATTATGCAAGCACTTAAGATCAGTGAAGCAAAGCACCCATTTTTTATTCGTTTATTTATGTTGCAGGGTTCTCATCACAGCGGTCAGGATGGAGTCGTGGATGGTGGACATAAAACGAGTGAAAATTCCGCGACCAAAATTCCAGACAGGAGGTTGCCGGTACCCGACGGAGCCACCAAAGGACTACTACAGCGGGAGTGAAGATATGGAATCAGTAAAAAATAAACAGAGCCTTGCCAAAGCCACCGAGGAACTCCGGAGAGCAGTGCAGGAGAAGTTATGAAACCACGCGATCGATGTAATTGTACAAAGTTATTACTAGCCACGAAGTCCAACTCTCGGAAAAGAGAGTGTGTGGTGTTTGATGTCCCTCGTAAATTGTTTAATATTACTGTCCTTTTGTAGATATTTCAGTCCCTTTTGGAAGCTCGCCGTGCGAGGAGACGCCAAATTGTCAATGCGGTGAAGTGACCATGAGGGCGTGTGACAGGATTTGTGTGACTGGACCTCATCTACCGAAAACTGAACGGTGAGTTTTGAGTGGGGCCACCGCAAGGGGAGATGAAATCGAAAATTTTAGCAAATACATGGATTATAAACATCCGAAAACTTCAAAATTCATGAAAATGTGGATACTTTTGGAGGCAACAGCTGGAAAACCGTTGTTTTTTTTTCAGAAAGAAAAACATGGGGTCAAATATGGAGATCCATTTCATTTTTCAAATGATCTCAAATAAAAAACTTCAGTAGCTTCGTGGACGTTTGATTCAAACTTGAAAACACTTTATATTTAGAGTGTCACATGCGAGGGAGGGGAGGGGTGTTTTCTCTCAACAATCAATTGCGGAGATTTTACTTAGAGCCAATTCCCTCGAAACTTTTGATTAAGAAAATGAGGTACCAGTTCACAAATCTAGTCGTATATTATGCACAATGGGTGTGAAAATGAATGAGAGGCAAAACATTTTTCCAAAATGATGAAGAGGGTACAGAAGCACAGGAGAGAGAGAGAAAAAAAAACTTTTTCAAAGCGATTTTAACGACAACCTATTTTCTCAAGTGGAAAAATTATGTTGAAATAGTATTAATGTCGTTTGAGGATTCATCGTGCTACCGATTGTAGTGTTACTTGCAATTTCACGGATTTTTGCATGGATGATTTAACGTATCGATTAAAATTAATCACAAGAATTCCTCAGTTCATTATTCGCAAAACACAATAACTGTCAACAAATTAAACGACTGAATTTTTGCCTTTCAAGTTTCCTTCTTCTTTTCGATAGCTTTGATATACTTATAGGTAACGTCTGAAACTGAATCTTTAAATCTGTGTTGTTAAGTTTCCTTTTTGTTTTCTTCTCCTAAAATACACTGTTTCGGGATATCTTTGAGAAAGTGAAAGCTTTACAAGACTGATGTGGAAAGATATATGATACTGAGGATCAAAAATAATAGTTTTTTATTGTGTGCCTTTCGCATTTGATCCCAGCACAATCTGGAATCCACAGTAAATATCTTTTGGATATTGTTGACCATGAGTAATGGGTCAAAAACTTCAAAGCTGTTTATTATTATGAAGGATTAAATCATAACTCAGATTTGAATTTAAAACAGAGTGCGCATGCAGCTAAAGGTACATAAATCCTCTTAAGTGAATAGTTTGTTTAAATTTATTTAGTTCAATTTCCATTTCCTGGTTGAATCCTTTGATTTGTAAACTTACTTGGAGTGATATTGTGTGAATGCAGTCAATTAAGAAATAAAATGCTCATTTCACGTGTACTTGTCCACTACCTTTCTACTACAGTTGTAATTTTCCATAGATGATTCGACTTTCATCTCATTAAATAGGTATTTTGTACGTACATTAACTTTGTGCTCATGATCGGTTTATAGAAAATTGTCAGAGACCAGGGCCGGATTAAGGGGATGGCCACATGAGCCGCGGCCGATGGCGGCAAAATGTTAGGGGCGGCAAATTTTGCAATTGTTTTGAATGTAGATTGTAGGTATCAAAAGGAGAAAGAAAAAAATCTGATTCAGAAAAGAAATTACAAACGAGAAAAGGCGACAAAGTCTCTCATTTCCTGAGAGTAAAAGTACAGTAATTTCTAATTATGTCGTCTTTCGGTGATACAAGAGACGACACCTTTAATTATTCGAGTTAAGAGAAAAACCAAACACGCAATTTGACCTTGGAACGGAGCGGCGCGGCGGTCGGCATAAAACGCATAGCGCGTACAAGACTGTATGAATACTTCACGCATTGCGTCAAACACACTGCGGTCAACAGCAGTCGGCTGGAAACGCACAGCGCCTGCAAGACTGCATGAATACTTCACGCATTGCGCCAAACAGTGTGGTCAGTGGCGGTCGGCGTGAAACGCATAGCGCCTACAAGACTGCATGAATACTTCACGCATTGCGCCAATACAGTGCGGTCGGCGCGGCGGTGGAAGTTAAAATTTTTAACCACATTTATGTTTGTTCTTTCATAAATTTTCCATTCGTTTTTTATAAGTGGAAGGCTTTGTCCAAACAGGGATGGGTTTACGGAACTGAACTCTTGTTAGTGTTGACAGGGCTTTCACAAAAATTGTGCCCAACACGAGTAAAGGCGTCTCATACACCCTTCCCCCACCGTTATTCACTTGATGGTTTTTATAGATGGTATTCGACAGATCCCTCAGGTGAGATTATATTGATATCGATTGGTTCACTGTGTAACCACAGCCTTAAAAATCAATTTAGAAATCCGAGGTAATGGGTCTTATGTGATTGAATTTTTATTCTCTCGAGTACCAAATGTGTTTATGGCAATGTGTGTATGTATGAGCCGCTTTTACGGCGCGCTAGGGCGCTCTGCGACGCCTATTCTCCACAGGAATCTGTCATGGTAGAGATCCTCCGGAAGCTGGCATCTCTCCATCTCTTCATGGATGCCCTCTACCCACCGTTTGGCTGGACGCCCTTGGCTGCGCCGCCTGTGTTTTGGCAATGAAAAGTGAAATTGTGAGGAATTTTGTCATTCTCAGCTTTTCTAAATTAAATCCTAAAATGTTTGTTTGAGGTTATGTTCTATTGTTTTGAACCAAATGATACATCGAACCACTGTCGAATACGATTGATTGATGTTTCAAAATAAATGAGAAGGGGGTGGAAAAATACAGGCGGCCCATGGGCGGCAAGTAGGTAAATCCGGCCCTGTCAGAGCCACTGTAAAAACACAAATTTCGACAGGCGATGTTGAAATTTTCGGTCATACTTGTCCCTTTTCAGAACAATTTACCGACGTCATTATTCTTCGCAACTTAATAAGTCCCCCCCCCCCTCTTTTTTCCTAAAAATTTCATTCGAAGATTTCAAGTGCCTAATATCCTTTTGAGAGAAAGATATATGCTCGAAAACTTTGCGATCGAGTCACAATGTTTTATAGTTTTATCAACGATGCGTCTCATGGAACAAAACTATCAGTTTTCTCGTATGTATTATGTTTTATTTTTTTCATAAATACCGCACTGACGGGAAAAATTAAAATTTTTAATGCAATTGCTTTGTAACTGAAATGAGAACGCGTTTAAAGACTTTTAAAAATGTTAACCCCTGTTTTATTTTTCGTAATAGCATAAATCAAAGTATACCTTCAAATTTCTCAAAAAATTTTATACAGTAAAGAAAATTCCTAAAATATTTTTAGAATAAAGTCATCCCCCTTTAAATACGTTTTCAGTAGAGACTTGCAACACTGAAATCAAAGATACGCATTTTTCGACAAAAGGCATTGGTGTATGTTTAAAGATGCTAACTACCTATAAATAAGAATTGTGACCTTAACATTTCTGCAGGCTGATTACCTCTTCGAATTCATTACATATTGAATTATTATGCAGATGCCGCTTGCTTGATCTCCAGATGCATTTTGATAAATGGGAGTGGAAACGGAACTCAAGGAACGATTCTCAATCTGGTGGTAATAAGCGTAACTAACTGTAATCAGCTTTCGAAGAGCCACGTTAAGTTCTGCCAGAACGCGCCAAATCGTTATAACTGTCAAAAATTACCGATCCAGCCGAGAAGTGCTGGAGCGATGCAGTTTGCGGTCCACCGATACAAACCTCGACACGTTTCTCATGACGAGTCATTCCTTCACCAATTTTTATTGCACCTCGACGACGCGTTCAGAAAAGTTAATTCGAGGAATAAGAGAGACGAAGGTCGTTTGATTTTGAGTTTATTGATCTACGAGATGTGGCCGCGGGTTTTGATATTTTTCGGGGGCACATAATTATGTCCTAAAATTCTCACGCATTCGGGCACTAGGCACAGTTGCATGTTCTGATCGTCGATAAATTTGGCATGAAGGCTGCACCCACGCGCTAACCATGGTGTTCCAGATTTTGCGGTTTACGTAATTAATAGCCGCTTAGCTGCGTGTGCATCCTGAAGGCAGTTTCTTGGTTACAGTGAGGAAGCGAGAATTTCACGACGAATAGTACGTTTTAAACTTAGTTGAAAGCTAAAATTACGCGAGATAATGGGTGTGAAGGACATCGTGCACGATATCAGGTCCAAGCAGTTGGTCTGGTAAGGACATGTGCGAAGGATGGCAGATGATCGGTTGCCCAAGCAGGTCTTCGATTGGTGTTCCTCCCGGAAGGCGACGGCGTGGACATCCTGTGAAAGGTTGGCGACAAGGGGTGGAGGAGGAGATCAGAAGGTGCCAATTGCCTGATGATCTCTGGGAGGATATGGGGCAATGGCGATTGGGCGTCGCAGAGCGCGAGGCGGCGCTATAGAAGCGACTTTATGTATGTATGAAAGCTAAAATTAACAGAATTTCCCCATTCACATCTCCAAATTTAAAACGCCAGGCTCTCAAAACATGCTCACTTAATTCACAAAGTTTGAACATCGTAAATTACTTACACGAGAGTGCATTGAATTTCCACGCAAAAACTCTATTCAGAGGCAATAGCATGATAAAAATGGACATTTCTGGTGATGAAAATTTGACGCTTGAATTTCTCCAACACCGTGGAATGATATAGCAGAAAAAAGCAACTGCAAGTGCATAAAATTCCTGATAAGGTAACAATTGCGTGCCCTTTATGCGAATAAAATGAAAAGTCCATTCACAAGGTACCAAAAAATGTTCAGACCCGATAACCGAAGTTCTTGGTGACACGAACTGTATTTGGTTCAGATAATTATGGGTTTTTGTTAGCTGCACCGAAACTTGCATTCTTCAGCGAAGACCTCGATTTCCTGAACTAAAGTTTGGCTATCGTTACTATAAAAACTTTGGGTACCTACTTGGTCCGAAAACTTTAAAACCGAGGCCCGGAACTTTTATAACTGAGGGTAATTTCTTCATGGAAATCTCAGCTTCCCAATTGTTACAGGGAGGTACGTCTGTGGGTCGATTATTAAAATTAATAGACAGCTATAGACAAAGAGGGCAAAAAGGATACGGAAGGTCTTATCGGTGGATGCGGGAGGTTGCTATGGCCAAGGGAGATAGGTAAATAGATAAACCAACGGCAACCCACGATAAACCCTACAGTTAGTTCATCATTTTCACCCTTACTCTATGGGAGCCCCCATTACAACCAATAAGATTGCTCTATACTCCCTGTGTGTTCTTTGTCTATCGTTTTATCTATCAATTTCAATTATTAGCCCGCTGGAGGCATTAAAAAGAAGGAGCTTATGTTCACGTTGAGAGGTCCGGCAGCTTTTTCAATGTAAAATCACGATTGAGAAGTGTGGATGATTAGTGAAAGAGATCCGTCGGAAAATATTCTAGGAGGTTGTGCCGCGCGCCGCGCGACACACGTCCAGTTAATGACTAATGTTCCCGAATGTATTAAGTGTTAATTGCCTCTATTTCGGGCATGCACGGCTCTTCCCGTTACGTCTTTCATCCTGGAGCGCTATTCTGTATCTCACCCCGCTGAGCCGCGGCATTGAATCCGGGATCCGACTTAAATGACCACTCATTCGTCGGAGCGCCGTGTTCGATGACCCACTTTCTTTTGAGAAGCTCAGAAAGTTGCTGCTGTTAAAAGTTTCGGGTCAGTACAGGGGCTCCAGTGGAGTAGGTATAAATAAAGCGGTGCTTTCCGCGTGTCTATGAAAACATTTTCATAAATAGGATCTGAAGCATTTAGAAAATCTTTCAAGAATATATGTGCAATCTTGAATTCTAGAGTTAATCCATTTCGTACCTTCAAATGGATGACGACGATTTACGTCCATTCTTACTGCTTTCCATTATAGAGGATGTACGATTTTTAACCGATTTTAACGATTTCAATTATGAGATAAAGAAAATGAATTTAAGGCAGGACAGTTTCTGGGTCTACTTTACGGTGTGAAACATTTAAGTTGAGAGATGGCATGGTGCGTGATATGAAAATTACGATAGTAAAAGGGAAGAAAAGGATTTGTTGCCGGCATGAATTGCTAAGAGACGTATCACGGTTTCAGTCATACACATCTATATGTGTGTCCTTTTCAATGGTATTAGTAAAAACGATAAAAAAGGATGTGAAAACAAATTATTAGTTGTTTCCATCCTCGGTGATATGATGAAAGATTTGTCTAAAAGAAACAATTCACGTTGGCTATCATGACCGAGAAAAAAGGCTAGCCTTTATAACGATCGAAACCACTCCATTCACTATAGATCGAAGATATTTTAGTGATGGATCTAAATAATTTTCATCGAGGTATAAATCACAAATAAACTCGAAGCTCTTTTTTTTGTCATTGAAAAAAAAACAAAACAAAAAAAAAACATTGGGATAATAAAACCATTCTCATTTGAGCTATTAGTGGATATTTGGCCTACTTAAAAATTCTGAAAACTCTACATGATGGAATCAGGAATTTTCATTCCGCAACAATTTATCGAATTAAACACTACAAAACAAGAGCGCAGCATAAATCGGGTTCTCTGCCTAAAAACTGTTTCTGGACCGAATTAATGGATTTTCACTTTAACAGTTACATTATTTTGACTTGATTTTGTGCTGAATTTGATTCAGGAGTCAGGTCAGTTCTGAGATCAGGTGCTTTGATAAAAATTATCCATAAATCACCGACTTTCTGATACGTGTCTTCTCTGTACTTGTTAAGTATCATAGCGCTGATTTCAGTTAGAGAATTTGAGGGATCTCTTAACTCTAAGTCGGAAACAGATTTTAGTCTGCTTAGAGAAACCATTCCCGGCTACGCTCTGTAAGAACGAACACATTTACAAAAGATTTTAATTGATTTATCTTACCATGTTGGCATCGCCATGAGGAGAATCTTGCAATCTGGATAAGCCTTCATCTAAACTTGACCGTCTTCTTGATCTATTTGAGGTAAATTCTACACCATCTAAATCACCGAAACCCTGCCAAAAGAATTAAGATTCATTCAATAATTGACTGATTTAGAAAGCTCTCTGAAATCTTTAAATGTTTTCCTTATTCTGCTGTGGAGTTAGGTATGATGTAAGCAACTGATAAACGAATCTCTCCAGTTTTTTGACACACAGGGTGAGCAAATCTTATGGATGCTTGTATAATTATCTTGAGAACGGTTGCGAACATTGACACGGAATTCGAACGAAACGTTCTCAAAGTCTTGGGAGGAGGAAGTTTCGTCTTAATCTCATGTCAGTATCTGCGATCGTTCTCAAGATATTATTAAGTATCTATACTTTTTGTCCACCTTGTAGAAGCATAAGTCAGAATTTATTTTCTACATTAAACAGTAAAGAGTAAACGGAAAGAATATGGGTAAACTACCCTCGAATTTCCCTCTCCATAATATGTATTTCTGGGTATAATTCAGCTAGACTCATTTTTTCTCGAAGTGAAGGGATAAAAAATTTAAAGTGAGCATCAGGCAGATAAAGATACCAAAAATAAAGATTCATAAAATCTGACTTTCGCCTCTACATCAACAGGCTAGGGAATTAGATGAATTTTCCACACTCAGAAGCTTCTGCCGAAAGTCTGTTTTATGTTCCGTTTGATGTTTAGTTGGGTACAGCATGCCTTTATTCATGAAACTGATACTTTTAGCGGCACTCTTTTCAAGTGATATCTTTGCAATTTAGTGAGTTTACACTCTCAGTACTTAAAGATCTGGCCCGTGATTCATGTCTTGAGAGTACAAGAAGCCTCAGAGGAATTCTTGTGCTAAGGACGTAAGACTGATTCAGAATCTTTGGGGTTATGGATTCCCGTTCAATGAAAATCAATGAAGAATTCTCAATTGTTGTTCATCCTTCGATCCAGTGTTCGAGGTACAGTGCGCTGTCTATGAGCCTCCGCAGAAGGAATCACAGTTTGCTTCTCTGAATCTCATTTTACAAATGTTCAGAGTACATATTTTTGAAACAGCTAGTTAGGAAGTTTTACTGAGGAAAATATTTTATAGTTCGGCACCATTATATCTTCAAGCAATATAGTTTCCGTGAGGCATCGAGTCCTAGAAAATATCCCTTACTGCCTAAGCATGTAACGCTGGAGTCAAACCTAACATTATTTTTGCTTTCACAAATGGTTACAGTAAGATAAAATCGAAAATAATGTGGCAAACGGGAGAATCGAGAACTCTAAATCAAGTGAATGAGATGTGCTAGAGGAATGGTTTTAAAATAAAAACTAGAAGTAGTGGTACCTGTGGGTCAAAATCAGCTTCATTGGAAAGAGCGAGATCTGACGTACGCCTACGTCCAAAATATGAAGAGGGAGATTTCCGCGTGTCACCCAGGAAATTAAAGTTGCGACCACTAACAAATCAGGGCCCAATCGTTACAAATCAATTAATTATATAAATCGTAAAATGGGAGACAATTGATGAGGGGAGAATACTTAGTTTAGAATATTTAGTTAGAAGTCTTTTCCCCCATCACGGCAAGATCTTCTAAATAATCGAATTTTCTGATAAAAATTCCGTTATCTCAGCGAATTTTGGGTTTCCAGAAAATCCTCACGTGATGGGGAACAACTATTCGGATGTAGCCCCAAAAATTCACCCTAACAGCACATGCTGCAGTGAATTGCGGTTACATGGTAATATTAATGCTGCTACGGCAAAGCGTCGCGTATGTTGCCTATCTATTTATTGAAGGGGCTCATCTTGTTGGAGTCGAAGAGGGAATCATTCGGTCATTGTTAGCATGAATTTATTGATTTTCCTTCTTAGATTTATCAATCAGTACTGTGTAGTATTACAACTATAAACTTGGTGTCCTGACAAATTCAACATTTTCTACACAACACGATTTTGTGGATGGTAAAACTGGCTCATTACCTATTGCAGATTTTTGCTCCTAAATTATTTCTTGAATAGAACATTTAAAAAATCGGACGAATTCATTTAAATAAGTTGCGTCGAACTTTAAGGTCAAGTGAAACGATACCTAACAGACAGACCGGGAGGTTGCTGCTATTCTGGTGTCCCTATTCAAAGTGTACATTTTTTTAGAAATCAACAAAACTTCTTTTTCTGATCTCAAAACCCGTAGTCGGCCCAAGTGGAACTGGGGCGTTCTACCACGGTAAGGTTCTGAAGGTGGCGATATTGCCGAAAATTGCCTCATTTCAAAATAAGGTAGACACAGTTTTAACTACTAGTATCACCCGAACCAAAAAGACGTTGTATAAAAAAGTAGCGTCAGGTAAATATTTACCGGAAGTATTCAGCATTTCCGATTACATCAGCTGATCGCCGGAAACTCTATCTCATTGCGCCCCCAAGTTAAAGCGCCAAGTGGATATGTAACGGAAGTATTCAGCATTTCCGGGTACTTGAGCTGATCGCCCGAAACACTTTGATAATGTGCGAAAGCTATGGCTGTGGAAGTGTATCACAAAGTGAATCACTTGACGCTGAATACTTCCGCGCACAATTAGAAAGGGTTTTCCATGATTTGCTGATGTGATCGGAAATGCTGAATACTTCCGGTAAATATTCACTTGACGCTGTAACTTTGGCGCGTAATCAGAGAGTGTTTCAGGCGATCAGCTAATGCAACAGGAAATCCGGTAAATGTTCACCTGACACTGTAACTTTCAACACTGCAATCAGATACAATTTTCGACTATCAGCTGATGCGACCGAAAACGTCGAGTATTTCCGATACGTATACCCTTGAGGCTACTTTTTCAAGACAACATTTTCGGGGATCAGGAGGTTTTTATTTTTGAATTAGGAACACTCGGTCGGCCTCATTTTGAGATGAGGCATTTTTCCGGCAATATCGTCACCTTTGAAGTCCTTTTTCCGTAAAATACCAGGGCTGTCCCAAAAGAAACCGGACTTTTCTTATAGAAGGCGAACCGAGTGTTGTAATGAAGTTTTCTTGGGCTTGTTTGAAAGCTGATAAGCTACTGAAGATGCTTGTTTTTACAGAATGCAAAAATTCGTCTTGGTAAGGAAACTACACACTTTGGAATAAAGGAAAGTCAAACTCGAGTTGCGATTTTTGTCTTTATTTCAAGAATTTAGATACAACTTAAAAAAACCCAGGTTTTAAGTTAAAAACTTCGTTGCTCTCTTATTCAAATGCTTAAAAATAAGGAAATTAAAATTTTAAGCAGCTTACACTAAGTCATCACCTATCCCCTTCAAAATACTCGCCAGCTTTGTCGATGCATTTTTTCCACTGTTCTTCAACTGGGAGAAACAATGTCGGAAATCCTCAGATTTGAATGATCCCAATTCCTACAAGGTGTTCTCTTGAATTTCCGGAATGGTTTGAAAACGTCGACCTTTCAAGGTAGATTTAAGTCGTGGAAATAAGAAAAAATCACACGGAGCCAGGTCAGGTTACCTTGAAGGAATTGCGATCATTCAAACCTGATGATTTCCAACAGTGTTTCTCCTACACTGTTAAAAATCGTTGATTCCGTCCGACGGAAAATCCGGAGTGAGAATGAACACGGGAGTGCGGTTCAGCGCGTAGGTGCTGAGACGGGCTGCATGTGAAGTCAAAGCACTCCGCACCGGAGCTGCAGTACGGCCCGGAGTCACACGCACCTTCTCTCCCTCGCACTAGCGCTATACTGTCTCTCCTCCCCTTTAAGCCTACCACTCTCAGAATGAAAATGATAAATTTAAAGAGAAAAAAATAGAAAAAATAATAGAATAGTGGAAATAATAGAATAGTCGAAATTATGGTATAACAGAGACAAAAGAAAAGAAATAAAATAAAGTAAATCAAATATATGATAAAATGAAGTCAAAGACTAAATTGAAGTAAATAATTAGAGGGAGCAAGGAGATGAAGAAAAAAACAAAATAAGGGAAACAACTAAATGATGTTAAAGAATAGAATGAATTTTAAGAGTAAAGTGAAGTCCAAAAATTATGATGAAGTATTAAAAGAAATCACAGTAAATATGAAACAAAGTAAAGGAATGAGAAGTAAATAATTAAAGAGAAAAAAATGAAGTGCTTGAAAAAATAAAATATAGTTAAAAAATATAGTAAAGTAAACTAAATACACGACAAATCCAGGTAGATTGAAAATATTTTAGCGGCCCGTTCAAATCGACGTTAAATACCGTTTTTGTGTCACTTTCATGCATCGTTCGCTATAGCTCAATCGGTAGGGTCGTCGGTTAGTGTTAGGTAGGTCCCGGGTTCAATTCCTAATGTAGGTAGAAAATTTCTAACCTTCAAAGTCGGTTAAATCACGTACCAATGGTTTCATTATTTTTATTTTTCATGGTTTCAAAAATTATTTCCACAATTAACCCCTTTCCACCATCCCCTAGCTGCGAACCCCTAAATTTGCGGCTCCCGCGAATCCGTCCGGCGTCGGAGTGATTTCTATGCGTACGGCACCCAAAATCCGTCCAGCCGATTCTCCGTCGGAGTGACTCCTCGGTCCGGCGAAGTGAGGGCCCGTTCTTACTCGCGCTTGTGCTGAGTCTCACTCCGTTTTTTTTAACAGTGTAGTTGAAGAAACGGTGGAAAAAAATGCATCAACAAAGCTGGCGAGTATTTTGGAGGGGATAGGTGATGCCTTGGTGTAAGCTGCTTAAAATGTTAGTTTCCTTATTTTTAAGCATTTGAATAAGAGAGCAACGAAGTTTTTAACTTAAAACCTGGGTTTTTTTAAGTTGTATCTAAATTTTTCTTGAAATAAAGACAAAAATCGCAACTCGAGTTTGACTTTCCTTTATTCCAAAGCGTGTAGTTTCCTTACCAAGACGAATTTTTGCATTCTGTAAAAACAAGCATCTTCAGTAGCTTATCAGCTTTCAAACAAGCTCAAGAAAACTTCATTACGACACTCGGTTCGCCTTCTATGAGAAAAGTCCGGTTTCTTTTGGGACAGCCCTCGTACGTCAACTTCGGTTGGGGCAACAGCACGTTTTGAGGGCAGAAAGAATGCTTACATTAGCAAAATGCTGTCGGCCTCATTATGGGATGGATATTATCTCGGCTTTCTCCACCTTTAGAGCCCTGGTTGAACGCTCCAGCACCGGTCAGGCCAACGACGGATTTTGAAATCAAGAGAAAAAGGTCAAACAATTTTCCACTTTAAAGTGGGACACCAAATTGACAGTGACCTCCCTGAGTAAGACCACGAAAAAATTCCGCATGATAACATTTTGATTTTAAAATAGATAATTTTACGTGAGGGAATAAAGATAAAACATTACTATAAAATACGTAAAAAAGAGAAATATAGAAAGTCAAGAGAAGAGAAATAAAGGTAGAGAGAGGGCAATGTAAAATGAAATGACTCTCACCTAATATTATGGCCGTTGCCTAACTCATGAGGACCAAGGCCTAGGCCCGAATCTTCACTTGGAGTTCGAAATTCATCAGGCTCGATATAGGCAGCTCCAGTCATTGAGTCAATAGGAAATTTCGAGGGCCTCGGAAAGTCCGACTGGAACACATACAATCGATCTGACTCAGAATCTAGTGATTTCCAGAATTTAACCCTCCTTATTAGAGATAGGAGCGTGGTTGGCGATTTTATTTTATACGATACCTAATACGATATAGACGTTAGATTTATCGATGCAAGTTTGATTTAGATCTCGAACTCAATATGTTTACTCAGGCAGAAGGATAAACTCAAAAACCAGTCTAAAATTGGTGTTTAACGACCAACTTCATCCCGAGTCCAGTCCGAGACTTTGGTTATAAACCTTGCCCATCGATCCAAAGAGTTCTTAGAAAAAAGGGATAAATTTCCCGGATATATAGCTCCCCCCCTCCCAATTTAGTTTGTTACCCCATGATATCAAGAGGCTAAGAAGGGAATGGAAACTATTTTTGGAAGTAAAATAAAACTTTAGCAAACGGAGCGATTGAAAACAAATCAATATTACCGGAAAGGCAAAGATTATGGCAGGATCCAGCGTGTTAAAATATTCTTGGTCGATATACACGCTACATCCGGAAATTCGAGATGATTGGACAGCGAGACGATTAGAGAGGAGGTCTCACATGAGAGGCAAGGAATAGCAGAATATTTATACACCTATTATTCAATAAGCATGAGTGTGGAAAAATCAACGTGATGATGGAAAGCAAATGAGTGAAAGATAAAACATAAACATCTTTCCAAAATGGATTCTTGATTGAACCTCATTTCGTTTGATACAGATAACAGATTACATATTACCATAAAAGTTGAAAGTGTTTTATTTGTTCTCACTTTTTTTTTTTTTTTTTTTTTTTATAAAAATTACAATTCAGTTCCTTCACAATCACGCTTATTTACAGAAATCAAATCGAAGTGTTTCCTTTTTTCTCGGGTTCTGATTACTTGCAACGGAAGTGTCCTATGGAGTTATGTGGAATTATTACATTGTACTTGGATGATTGCGAATTTTAAGTGATCACTTACCAGCCCAGGAGGATTCTGCAGCTGTGCAGGTAATAACGAATGAGTAGCATCTACTCTGTTCTGTAATAAAAAAAAGACAACACACATATATATGGCATCAGATTTTGGAATTTTTTGTTATAATTCGTGTGTTTTACCGGTGAAATTGTACATTTTTTCAGGAATAATTCTACCGAAAAAACTTTTTTGCTTCAGTACGAACTTTAGTCATACGAGAATCTTGACAAAACTTTACCTAATTTTTAATGAAACGTGTTCCCAGTACTCCAACTTAAGGGACTTGGTTACCTGAAAATGGAAGAATAGTTTCATCGAGGGTGACAAAAACTCACATTACGTTCTTTTGAATAAATATGTCTACCTTAGCCACAATCGCGAAACCGCTCCGTAAGTGTTTGATTTCACAAACGCCTGCTAGTTATGCAACTATTCGAACGTTAGGGAGAGGCAGTTCATCCCAGGCGCTAACGAAGAGGAATCTATCAAGAGCAGAGTCATTGAAATTTTTAACGCTCACACATATTGATGCTGATTTTATCGCGTAATTTGGATGGATTTGACCTGAGTCAGCCTAATTTCACTACACGTTGCCACATTGTTTCTCATGTTTTACTTGTTCGACGACAGAAAACTAAGCGACATCAAACTTAGATATTTTTTTGCACTTTTAGGATTCAATGAATTAAAATGATAAGAATCTCGGTTATATCCTAACCTTTTAAAATACAAAATTAAACACAATACTGCAAAAGAAACTTACCCTAGAAAGTGAATTTGTGTGACTACTATCCCTGAGACCTTGGCCATAAACTAATTCATCAAACATAGTTCGATCCTGAGGTGCCACCACCTCCCGCAGCTCCGTTAGCAATGTGTACTAAACATTAAAAAAAAAAAAAAAAAATGAAGGTTTAAATTAATAAATGTAGCTCCAGAATAAAAGATTAAAGGTTTCAGACGCAAATGAAAAAGAAGCGATAAAAATGGGATATATAAGTAAGGAGGGAGGCAAAAATGACCATCACATGGAAACAAGAAAAAGAAACATTGTAGTGAGGACAACAAGGAAAGTTGACACTGGCTGGGACTGGGATTGCTTGGAGTTCAGGGGAGTCAAGTTTTTCAACAATTTACCTAAAGAGTTGAAAGAGATCTTCGTCAAAGCTGAGTCGCCAAATTTGTTCATTAATAAATGAAAAGAACCCTTTTAAAAAACGCCCACGGCACCTTGCAAGAACTTTTAAATTTGTAATATTCATCTGTTTTGTAACTTTTTCTACTTTGACTTGAATTGAGCCTTTCTGTTCAGGCTAATGTACTGATCTTTAAAAATAAAATACAAGAACTAAAAATAAAAATGAATCTTCTGCCTCCTTCAAGTTCTATATATTCAATGGTTTAAATGTCTCCAAAAAGTAAAAATGTCTCCAAAGTAAAAATTTTAGTTTTTATTCAATATTTCATAAGGGGGAAAAAAAAAAAAATTATTGTTTGAAAATTTTACAGAATTCATTCTTGAAAATTAAGAGAAACCACGGAATTTGTCAACTAATTACATTGATTAATATGCTATTTAAAACGTAACGACGGTGAAACTCCCAAACCACGTACCTCGGCGTGCAACGTTGCTAACTTCCGGTTATAGGTACTTTAAGCTTTCAATTGGAAAGTACTTCACGTCAACAGGGCCGGATTAAGGGGGTGGCCACATGGGCTGCGGCCCATGGCGGCAAAATGTAGGGGGCGGCATATTTTGCAATCTTTTTGAATGTAGGTATCAAAAAAAGAGAGGAAAAAATCGGATTCAGAAAATAAATTACAAACGAGAAAAGACGACAAAATCTCTCATTTCTTCAGAGTAAAAGTATAGTAATTTCTAATTTTGTCGTCTCTCGGCGATACAAGAGACAACTCCTTCAATTAGTCGAGTTAAGAGAGAAATACCAAACACGCAATTTGACCTGAAACGGAGCGACGCGGCGGTCAGCGTGAAACGCATAGCGCCTACAAGACTGCATGAATACTTCACGCATTGCGTCAAACACACTGCGGTCAGCAGCAGTCGGCTGGAAACGCATAGCGCCTGCAAGACTGCATGAATACTTCACGCATTGCGTCAAACACACTGCGGTCCGCAGCAGTTGGCTGGAAACGCATAGCGCCTGCAAGACTGCATGAATACTTCACGCATTGTGCCAAACAGTGTGGTCAGCAGCGGTCGGCGTGAAACGCATTGCGCCAACACGGTGCGATCGGCGCGGCGGCGGTGGAAGTTAAAATTTTTAACTACATTTATGTTTGTTCTTTCATAATTTTTTCGTTCGTTTTTTATAAATAGAAGGCCTTGTCCAAACAGGGATGGGTTTACGGAACTGAACTTTTGTTAGTGTTGACAGAGTTTTCACATAAATGTACCCAACACGAGTAAAGGCGTCTCATACACCCTTCCCCCACCGTTATTCACTTGATGGTTTTCATAGATGGTATTCGACAGGTCCCTCAGGTGAGATTATGGTGATATCGATTGGTTCACTGTGTAACCACAGCCTTAAAAGTCAATTTAGAAATCCGAGGTAATGGGTCTTATGTGATTGAATTTTTATTCTCTCGAGTACCAAATGTGCTTATGGCAATGTGTGTATGTATGAGCCGCTTTTACGGCGCGCTAGGGCGCTCTGCGACGCCTATTCTCCACAGGAATCTGTCATGGTAGAGATCCTCCGGAAGCTGGCATCTCTCCATCTCTTCATGGATGCCCTCTACCCACCGTTTGGCTGGACGCCCTTGGCTGCGCCGCCTGTGTTTATGGCAATGAAAAGTGAAATTGTGAGGAATTTTGTCATTCTCAGCTTTTCTAAATTAAATCCTAAAATGTTTGTTTGAGGTTATGTTCTATTGTTTTGAACCAAATGATACATCGAACCACTGTCGAATACGATTGATTGATGTTTCAAAACAAATGAGAAGGGGGTGGAAAAATACAGGCGGCAAGTAGGTAAAATCCGGCCCTGGACGTCAAGTTTTAAAATATTCCAAGATATTTTGTCTCTGGGCGAAGTAAATTCTTAAACTATTTCATAAAACAATGTTAATTCGTTCTCCCCTCAGAAAATAAAACAAGAGCGTTGATTTTTTGACACCGCAAACGAGATACGTGGTGTAGGAGTTTCACCGTGTATATGGTGCTCTGATACAAGAAAGATAATTTGCAACGTCATCTTCCGAGATCCTCTTTTCCAAAGTTTATTCCACGAAGTCGCATATTTTTTAGGTACTAAAAGTCTCTGACTATGGGCTCAAGAAAGAACTTGATACTGCGCAGTTGCCTTGAGGAAAACAGGGAGATGGGTTTAACAGGAGAAAGCGCGAGAATAATGAGAAAATTTGATGCCAAGAACTTCGAACAACAGACAATCTGAGCTGAATGTAATTTTCATTTTAGGAATTGAAAATCGGAATGGATTAAAAAGTTTGAGCAGATGGCGCTTGTTCATCGCTTTGAAAGTTTCTTCACAATTCTTTGTCTTTAAAAATGATGAAGATTCAAGCCTCTCGGTTGACTTTCTCAATTGTCAGAGACACAGCGCGCGCGTGCTTCTGAAGCGCACAAAAAATCTGCCATGATAGCGAAGAGAGCAGTGAAAGTCAAATTTTCGACATCGAGTTTCCTTCAAAATTCGTTTAAGCTCTTTTAGATGAAATCACTGAAATTGCTAAAACAGCAAAATTCATCTTAATTGTATCCAAATGAGACATGAAAAAGCCGCAAGTGCGCAAAAAATGACGTAATTTTAGGCTAAACAGCCGTAAGTGACATTATTCTTTCAAAGAGCCAATGAAAACAATGCTTTTAAGTAAAAGGCCACCCTCTTCTGCGAATTTTTAACCTGAAAATTCGTTTGGTGTGTGTCCAAAACGCAACCGCGAAAGCATGTAGAAGATGACACTTACGGCTATCTTGCCTTACTTAGCCTAACATGAGTATGAAAATGCCCTTTTCGGGTAATTAAAAGAAATTCGGTCAATTTTCAGTCATCCAAACGATTTCTAGGGGTCATTCGGACGATTAGTGGCAATTTGACAAAGAACGGAGGCTTCTTTCAATGAAATTTTCCGGCCAGAGGCTTCTGAGCCCGTTTTCTCAGAACTTCATTTTTGCACTTACTGCGCTCTTCGCGATCACGGCAGAGATGCTGTGTCATCTAACCACAGAGTATAAGGGTACACACGAGAGTTGCCTCAAGATAAGCAATTTCAATATTCAAGGCACGCCGGTTTCGAAGGTCACAAACGCCCAAATGTCTTCTTGTAAAAATAAAATTAAAGGGTGGACATTGCGCAATGTGGAAACGAGTTGCGCTCATATTCACTGGCGGATCCAGCAAATTGGCAACATTGTTTTTTCTCCATTTAAACCTATGGAAATGTATCGATTCTTGAAGGGGCCAGGTGCTCCAACAAGAATCGACCATTTAACATAGGTTTAAATGGAGGAAATCCTGTGTTGCCAAATTGCTGGATCCGCGCCCCTGCCGCCTGGGGAATCAGAACACTTCCATTCAGATTCACAGATCTGGACGTCGCCTGAAAATCGCTATTAAAACAGACCGGATCTTTACTTGGACTACTTACTTTGTCTGGTGTGTTGAGTAACTCTGTCAAAACCGAAACAAACGATTCGACGGACATTCTTTGAGCATTGTATTCTTCTAAGTAATAACAAAGGGTTGAAAACTCGCTTTTTCTTAACACTATTCTTGCTTTTTCGTCCACCATTTGACTAGCTGCAGATTTCCCACTCAGCGTGCTGTGCCTAAAAAACAAGACCTATCGTTAGAAACATATATCACATCTTGGATATCATAGAATATCTAGAATATCATGAATGAAGGCGGCGAGGTTCTTTTAGGACTAAACTGAAAGGTAAACAATTAGAAGGTACCTCGGCGTCTATTTTCGATTTCTGCAGAACATATAGGTGGGTATATAGTGTTTAAGTGTGCTGTTGGTATATCCTGTATACAACAAAACCTACTTCCTGCCATAAATTATGTCGTACTTATACAGTGAGTTGCACTGATAACTGTTTCTAACTGTCTCTTCGTCGTGCGATCATTAAACATCGATGGTAAAACTAAATTAACATGAATCTAGATTTAAGGTGATTTGATGGACGCCATATTTTGTATCAGAACGGCATGCGATATATCGCATCAATTGGTTCCATTTTTTCAGCTACTCGTCATTTTTCTCCAATTTTGAGATCACAATTCTGTTGTCAGGAGACTAAAGCACTCACTTACCAATTTTAACAAAGAAATTCAACGTAATAAAGGCGTAGTTTTTTCAGAGAGAAAACATCGCATTCGATACTGATATCGAAACTGCACTCGAATGCGATATTTTATCTCTAAAAAAACCACGTCTTTATTACGTTGAATTTCTTTGTTAAAATTGGTAAGTGAGTGCTTTAGTCTCCTGACAACAGAATTGTGATCTCAAAATTGGAGAAAAATGACGAGTAGCTGAAAAAATGGAACCAATTGATGCGATATGTCGTATGCCGTTCTGACACAAAATATGGCGTCCATCGAATCACCTTAAACATCGACGGTGGACCTAAATTAACGTGAATCTAGATTTAACATTCTGAAGTCTTGGAAAATTTTTCAGAAGCTGAATATCTGTAAAGTAAACCATACTCCACGATATACAATCATGAGAGTAAAGCGTACCGCATAACGCTTGAGGCGTGAAGCGCTTTCGAGGGTCGGACCGCGAAACAATCAGGGGGCGTACCATGTGTTAGAAAAAAATAGGTAATGAAAACGATACATAAAATTGACGGAAATTTAGGCAATCTGCAACATTGTAAGCTGCCGTAAAACTATTTATTTACATCCGTTTTGACAAAGTAAAATGGACCGCTTGGATCTGGTTTTAAGTAATCCAGAGGAGGTAAGGACGGGTAATCGTAGCCTCATCTCGAAAGATCCCCTTTAATCGCTGCCCTCTCTGAACGTCGCACACGTGTGGATATTAAAGTTCTCTGGCAAACGTCCCGATAAGCTCACCGAGATCTCTCGCCTTTTGAATATGCAATGGACCAGTAGACAAGGTACGAATTTAAACGTTCTGATTCACGTAGCTTAGTCAAAATTGCACGCAGAACACGTTTCGCGGGGCGAAAATTACTGAAACCATTTCCTAACTAAGATTTGAGCCATCTTATTTTATCACAAAGGAGAACAAGCCCACGGCAAATTTTGTCTACAAAGGAAAAACATACGTATATTCCTTAGGCCCTGATTAAGTCAAATTAGTTATAATTATTTGATTCATACTAACTCATTAGCCATTCTATTTTGTCACAAAGGAGAACAAACCAACATCTAATTTTGTCTAAAAAAGGAGAAAAAAACATATTTCTAGGTCCTGCTTAAGTCAATTATTAGATTCAAATCTTCAATAAAATATATGTTGAATACAGCAATTTACATTATGCTTATCACTTAGACAATAAGTTTAATTAATTTTGCTTGTAGATATCAATTAGAATTGGCTTGGAAGTTTCAAAAAGTATTCTTCAAACAGCTGAGAAAAATCAGAGAACATCGATTCCAAACATGGCGGAAGATCGAGCCTCTACTCAGCAATGGCGTGGCGTGCTTTGCGATGTATCGATTGTTATGCCATTTAAACCTATGGAAAAGGATCGATAAACAGGGTGTTCGCAGCGAACATCTTAATAGTCGATTCTTTACCATAGGTTTAAATGGTAGAACGATCGATACATCGCAATTTACGTCCCGCCACTGCTACTGAGCGTGGATACTCTTCCGCTACTTCGACAATCTGCCGGATGAATTTTGAGCGCTTCAAGTTCGCTGCAAAACTCGATTTTGTGTCGCAGGAAGACGGATGGATTCGCGGAGCTTCCCTCATCAACGAATTAGCGACGAGCATGGAAATTGCCTGTCATTGCCAGATTAATTTCGGTCGTTGAGAGGAGACTCCTCATCAACCTCTGGCGCATGCTCAACAAGGGAGTGCCGACTGCAGTAAAACCGTCCACTTCGGGCCTCAGCACCCTGCAGTCCGCACATTATTCTCAAAATCAGTGATCTAAAGAAAAATCCCTGGCCAGGAAGAAAAATACCCCCTAGATTTCGCTAAAAATCCCTGAATGGGTCACTGAACCTTTTAATATTCTGAAAGTACCACACCGGAAAAAAAACACATTGGATCTAGTGTCCAGACTCATGAAAACATTGAAAAGAAAAAATACTCTTGATTCAATCAGATTTCAGCTTTAATCAAAAGGAAATCGCCGCTCAAATTAAGAGGCTTAGTTCTTGAAAGCAAAAATCCGATTGAATCAAGAGTGTTTTTTCCTGTCGATGTTTTTATGAGTCTGGACTCTAGATCCAATGTGTTTTTTTTCCAGTGCAGGTTAGTAAATAATGTCATTTTTCCGCATTTTTTCGGAACCGAAGTCGCCGAGAAACCCGCTTTTGAATCATCCAAAAACTGAAAGACATTTTAAACGCACCCGAATGACGGGGAACTAACGGTTGTGACGTACTGCGGTAGTCAAATCGCAATCTTCTCTCATTTCCGAGCGTTGTTGGTTAAAATAAAACGTGGTTTCAATGTGGAATTGTTGCTTGTTTACTGCAGATAACATAAATGAAATTCGACTCATTAATTCTAAAGATATATTTCGATTCTAGCATTGCTCTATACGAAAAGTAGATGGACATTTGACGGAAGTCTTAGAAACTCGTGCTCGCTTCTGATAAGTGCCAGATGACATCATTTGGTTCGGCGCGAAACCGGAGCGTTTTAAATTGCGGATAAGTTGAGTGATTTCGACAGAGCACAGGGGAGAATTTCATGAGCTACCCTGCGGCGTCCGCAGCGCGCATGGCGCACGACCCGCCTTTCATTATTTCACTTCATATAGCGTTGAGAGCTCACTAATTACTTCAAACGACCAGCATGTAATTTTAAAAGTTAAACATTTAAAAAAAAAATTTGAAAAAAAAAAAAAAAATTACATACACGAGTTTCTCTGCCAAGGAGCTCTCCCCGCAAAAAATCGGTCACCACCCGCCTGATGCCGGGAGAGTCGCGGCGCGGCGTGCTGCCAGCTCGGAACGCGCACTGACGCCTACAAACCTAAGGGACTACTTCACGCATTGCGCAATGCTTGAAGTATCCCCTTAGGTTTGCAGGCGTCAGTGCGCGTTTCGAGCTGGTAGCACGCTGCGCCGCGACTCCTACAAACCTAAGGGGCTACTTCACGCATTGCGCAATGCTTGAAGTATCCCCTTAGGTTTGTAGGCGTCAGTGCGCGTTCCGAGCTGGCAGCACGCCGCGCCTCGACGCCTACAAACCTAAAGGGCTACTTTACGCAATGCGCAATGCTTGAGGCATCCCCTTAGGTTTGTAGGCGTCAGTGCGCGTTTTGAGCTGGCAGCACGCCGCCGCGCCTCGCCGCGCAGCAGCGTGCCATAAACTTGCCCACAATTTCTAGGTCAGGGCGTCAAAATATAAGCAATTTGACATCAAATTGGAAATTAGCGACTCCAAAAAACATCAGTTGAGAAAATTTTGTGATCTTTCAGTCCTTATCGGACTTACTTCTTCCTATTCTTGAGTTTTGGAACATAGTGCGCCGCGGGCAGCGGCGCTCATGAGATTCTCCTCTGTGCTCGATCGGAGTGTTTTGAACTGCGCATTTCTCGGTTAATGAGTTACTTTTTCGCATTTTCAATGTGCGCATCGTGTTCTATGCGTCATTTACTCTCAGACAAAAATGTATTCGTACGTCAAAATTCGTTGATAGTTAAGTAACCCGTTCCCACTTTTCTTTTTAGATTTCTAACTTTACAGAAAAAACAAATACGTTGGAATGTGAGCTCGAAAAATTTTTCCTGAAGTATTCACGAAAAACTCTGCCTCATTCATCGTCCTCAGATCCGTCAATGCAGAGGCCGCGGCTAATACTACCGAGCTAAGGAAAAATGCCGTATGAGCCTTCAAGCGTTGCCAAATTTGTCCGGGCAAAACATTAATTTTCAGGAAATGTTTTGAATATTGGTCTACCAATTTTTCAGATAATTTTGTTTATAATTTGATCTAAAACTTCTGAAAATTTCAAGGAAAAATATTCGTAATTTTCCTCAAAAATAAACATTTTACTGAGGGAAATTTGGCAACTCTTGACTGCTTATACGGCGTTCTTCCTTAGCATGGCAGAATAGGTCAGGAGGGTGACGTTGTAACAGATTTAAACAATCCAAGTACAGTTTTCGGAAAATTGACAATGTCGCGATAAAAATCAAGAATAGTTTACTCGGCACCTCTTGTGGCATTTCATGTTTCCGAGTAACGAACATTAATCGATTTTGCTCAAACTCGGTGCGATTAATCAGGATTCTTCTTTTATAATTCTCACTTGAACGTTACATCAAAAGTATGTACCGTGAAGTGGAGAAACCAAATACAAATCCATGGAGAGGACGTCCAACAGCTCTAACCCACGAATAGTTGCACACAGGGGTAGAATGTGAGTGTTGTGTTTAAGTTTTGACATCACGATGTGCTGAGTATGTTTTGTTGAGCAACTATTTATGCCTAAGATGTCTTTGCGGTGTAAACGAAGAATTGAATGCGCTATGTCCTTTCAAGTCCTCGTAGCGCTGCCCGCTAACACCCCGCCGTGCCGGCTGCAGATGAAGCGGTGAGTGCCTGGACACACAAAACTCCTTCGCTTTCGTGCGTATGCAACACGGACATCCATAGAGCTTGAACAGTCGCATCCAACGTTATAATGACTTTCGTTCATGGTGTTCGTCGCCAACGACACTGACCATGGACGCTTTGCTTGTGTATCTTAATTCTAACGTTGAATAATGTACCGCGGATGAAATAAACTACTCCTGATTTATATAGCGTCACTGTCAGTTTTCCGAAAAATGATTCGATTCCTCAAATATATTACAACTTTGACAGTCCTCAAAATCGCAAAAAATTTAGGTTCCTGAGCATGATTTGTAGACGCTGCTTCGTTAATGAGGCGTACTTTATTTGGTTTTTCCCTTTGCGGTACATACTTTGGACGTTCAAGGGCGAATTTAAAAGAAGACTACGTATAATCGCACGGACAACAAATAAGATAGTCATTCGCCTCTCGAAAAACTGAAATGCGAGATCTGTACATCATAAAAATACACAAATGATTTTCTAGTTTCACCATAGCAAAGAAGTTGCACAATTAAGCTATCTACTCTTTTCTTCTTGAAATGAGGGATGGGTAAAGAGAAAATAATAGGTTATCTGTATTTTCTCATTTGAAGCTATGGTCAAGAACAGATTATTATTAAGGTGCTCATCGTGAACAACCTGATATTCAATCATTCTCCACAGGTTTCAAAGGCAGATCGATCAATTCATCGCAAAGTACTTGACGCCACCGACTGCGTATCCCTTGCACTTACTGACCTAATAATGACGGATGCGGCAGTCATTTCATGGACTCTTCAGGAATTTTTTTCGAGCGTGATTCGTTTTTGTGGATGAGTTAGAAAAAAAGTTAGAAAGGAAATATGTGCATTAACCCTACGATCAGTTCAGAAGCCGACGAGGAAGGACACAGCAGGGACAGAAAAAATATCTTACATCACTGATTGCTACAGATTCATCGAATTGGAACAACAGCAGAACGAGTTCACAAAAACGGATCAATGACCAAGATTATCACCTGTTAAGTGTATGTTTCCTTTGAATGCTTACCGGACAGATGTTTGGCGAGTGTCATACGAGGTACAAGAGTGAGGAACTTTACCGCAGTCGCGGACTGTGAGTGTCATCCTTTTGTAGTGCTTCAGTGTCCCAACAGCTTCATCATGCGTTACTTCACAAAATGACTGTCCGTTCACCTCTAGGATCTGATCACCGACCTGTGCATGCAACCAAAACATCATTGTAACATCATATCATGATGATTACTTATTCATATGAAAGAGTCACACAAGGATGGCGTCACGTGCGTGGTAAATGTTTCCTTCCTAAGTTATAAAAAACCATATAATAGACTGATTTAGTGGCTATGTCATTCGATATAATATCGAACTCTCGGTTCAAATGTAAACAAACACAGAACCATGTTTCTGGTTCGCGCTTATTTGCGCCCTTTGCACCATGGTCGTAAAATGCGTCCAAATGTTCTACACTGGTAAGTTCTCGTATTTAATGAGTCTTTAATTGATTTGTAACCGGTCAATGACTAAATTTTAATAAATTAACACAATTAACTCATGAAGAATTCGCACATGAGGTTATGTTAGTTTGTTTTGATTTGAACCAAGAGCTCAATATTATATCAAATGATGTAGTCGCACTAAATCAGTCTATTTGTGGAGTTGTAAAAAAAATCAGCGCCAAATCACCAACACGGAAAAAACAACTCAGCGCTGAGTCCTAACACTTTAGGTAAAATAGCGCCAACTAAGGGTAGTAGGGCTGGACCCTAAAGCTGAAATGCTCTGACCTACTGTCTTCAGTTGGCGCTATTTTACCTTAAAAAGTTAGGGCTCATTGTCAGTGCTAAGTTGTTTCTTTTTGGTGTTGGTTTGCGGGGAATTTGAATTGAAGATAGGAAATGCTTATCTCACTTTTCAGTTCATTTTGGACGTAGCTCATATTTGACATGAAATTTTGGGGAGGATGTTGTAGTGCTTAGTCCCTTATATCCCATCTAGTCCAATAGTCGCAAGTCCACCAGGGTGTCTACTAAAACAGGCTGGTCAAAAATAAGTATTCTACGGTACTTTTTCCGTACATTCTCAAGAAATTCAGTACCTCCTCTGACAGAAAAATTCCGTGCTTTTTCAGTACCTCCATTTGACGAAATGCGATAAATTTCAAAAATTAGCGATTGCGCCAAAACTGACAAAAAATTAAAGAAATTCCGGACCTTCTCGCGGAATTTCTGCACTTTTTCAGTACTTCCGGATCGCCCTTAAAAAATCAGTGCTACTCCCGGATTTTCCGGAAATTCCGGACTTGTAGACACCCTGCCCACGGTTTGCGCTGAATCTTTTCAAAGCTCGTCCATCCTTCCTATACTCACACGAGCCCTGACATCATCACTGATACAAATTGTTAACTCTTCTCCATCACGAATCATCGATGACATCGATGAACACATCGGTAGCTGTATCGGCAAAAAAAGGGCTTTGGCGCTTAGATACGTCATTACAACGTCGTTGGAATGACATAAATACCGAACAACTGCATTTCCCGACAATCAATCTCTCAAATCTAAGCAAGCCCACGGAAATATCCGTGAAATTCCGTCATATTATATCGTGACCGAAAGTGTCGATAGCAAAAGCTGCAAAAGCTGGCTTGTTGCACAGAACCGAGTTCGCCTCCCTTCGACAGAGGTTACACCTGCGCGGACCCGCTAAAACGGAGTGAGCGAGGGGTCAATGGAGAAGGTGAGAGCAAGAGGTTGTAATTGCATTGCAATGTTGTTAAGTTTTGCTCTAAAATGTATTTACGTATTCAAGAACTGTTGCAATTTTTTTTCTTAATTGTTAATGTTTTTTCGTGATTTGAGGAAATCTCCGAGAGATTTTCGATACAAAACATCTAACCACACATGAGTTTAAAAAAGATTTGTCTGGTGGCATTTTCGCAGCTTCGCAATGCAACTTATTGTTAGCCCTCTAACACTCGCTACAGAAACTACATAAATTTGTGGTTTTTCAGAAAAGATAAATTGTGCCGCTTCTTGATTGGTCTACGAATTCAGACTTTCAAGAGGCTTCTACGACTGGACGTAACCGAATGTTTTCATTGGTCAATAGAAATCAGGAAGTCTATGCCAACCCTTTCACCAAAAAAGAAAAAAAAAAAACCTTCAGTAACATCATTACCGACTTCTTCTCCGGATCAATGCAATTAACGACTTTCTTCGAATTTCCATGTTATTACGACCAAAACTTTATAACTATGAAGGAGTTGCTTATTTAAATTGTTTTCTTTTTAGGAGGGATTGGTGCGAGAGACGAGCTTTAAATAAACTATCTAAAATTTTCTCAGCCTCATCTGAACTATTTTACTTTCACGAAAGGGTGAAAATGTATTATACAAGTAAAACGTAGTAAAAGCACACTTGTCAAGAGCTTTGGATGAAAGCTGTGTTTTGTCTCCACCCTTTGAGGCATATGCCGGGAAACTTCATCTCAATCACAATCATACGACTAATCTGAGAATCTGTAGTGTTGAGAATATAACCATTCATCCCTAAAACATGGCACCTGTGGATTAGCCTTTCCGCTTCATCGCGCTCTACTGGCGTTGAATAACGTATCGCGAATTCACCCGAATCCGCTTTAGTTGCAGCTTGCAGCCGGCGTATTGCAAACGCTGGCTGTAAGCATTTTCGGCCCAGTCGCACACCACCACATCAAGAGCGTGCAAGAATGTGGACTCTATATCGAGCAAAATTTCACGTGCACTCTTTTTTAAAGGCTACCTCCTTATATGAGAAGAAAAATATTAGATTTATACATTTAAAACCAAAAATTGAGGGCTACAGAGACGTATCGTCTGTTCCGGGTTCAGCGGCCGAAAATGGAGATGTTGCTTGTGTGAGGAATTTGCGATTTGAATATTGATTCTTACGTAAAAGTTCGCGAGAAACACGATGGTGCCACTGGTTTTCTCTGAAATTAACTCCCAAGCTCAAAAAGAGGTCTCAAGTTGAGGCCAAAATGGAGGGGATATCCCACGCTATTCTGAGAGTCCACCTCTACATCAACACAAACTCTCCTTGCAAAGATGGGGAGAAAATACATTGACAGGGCTGCCATTTTATTTGGGGACTCTACAATTGAAAACACGGCATCACTGCCAATGTATTTGCTCCCTATCTTTGCATGGAGAGTTTGTTTTGATGTAGAAGTGGACTCTCAGGATAGCGTGGGATATCTCCTCCACTTTGGCCTCAACTTGAGAGCTGTTTTTGAGCTTGAAAGATGATTTCGGAGAAAAACGATAGCACCATCGTGTTTCTCGCGAACATTTACATAAGAATCATGAGACTAATCGCAAATTCCTCACACATGCAACATCTGCATTCCGGGTGCTGGAGCCGTAGCTTCGATTGTTCCGGGTGCTACGCCGGGTACTTTCGGCCTCTGAGCACGGCATGCGGACAGTATGTCTATATATAGTCCTTGAGTACGGCTCCCAAGGCCGGAATTTTTTTTTCAGTGTATGAACAATGGGAAAAGTAACTTAAATATTAATATCTGAAATCGAAGGAGTTGAATCAGATTTGAGGGGCTTGAAGGACAGGGCGCGTAAGTGCAGTTTTTGAAAAAAATTGAGATATCCATGATTTCAAGTGAAACTAGTCTGAATGCATATTCCGTAAAAAATTCGCTCCCAAATTTCAATTATTTTATAGGCATTGAAAAGTCAGTTTCGACTTTCTTTCCGTCATAAGGATCCATGTAATTTCGAAACTTCCAACACGTATTTCTAAAAATAGCAGAAACCGCACTTACTCGCCTTGTCCTCCAAGTTCCGCATTTCTGGTGGCATCAATAATGGGGAATGCTGACACAGCATGATAAACATTCTTACAGTTTGTGTAAATACCTTCTCATGTTAGCAGTGCGTAGCACTATGCATAGGAGTGCGGTAAAATCGACCAAATTTATTTTCGATGAAGCCTTTCGTGATGGTGAGCGTTTTTTAGTATGCACATACATTTCCTGTTTTGACTATGGTATTTTTCGGTAGCCGACAGGTCATCAGCAAAGGAAAGTGCCCATCTCATAACGGTTCATTATGTGACAGTTTATCCTGGAACGTGTTTGCGTTTCCTCCCTCTCTCTTATTTTACATTCAAACAAAGCGTCGCTCTCCTGACATAAGGGCGTATCTACACTGCGCGATGACCCCTGTCTTCCGTACATTTCAATGCTTTCCCGGGCTCATCCCTAAATGTAGTTACCCTTATAAGCGACGACAGGATCCTATTCCTCTTTGAGATTGTTTGCAAAACGAGATATGCAAGCTCTCCACTTTTTGCTTCTTATCAACGGACTAAGCGAGAGGCTTGTGAATCATCTGCACAGCTGTTACGCCCCTAATAAAACTTAGCCAAACGGCGCAGTTAACACTGCCCGAAATGCAAGACCAAAAGGCTTTCAACTCCGCCGTGCCGAGGAAGATCGCTGTATGAACATTCGAGGGTTGCCAAATTTCCTCCAATAAAATGTTTATTTTTGAGGAAAGTTACGAATATTTTCCCTTGAAATTTTCAGGAACTTTAGGTGAGATTGCGAACAAAATTATCTGAGAAATTAGGGGGGAAATATATTCATAAGTATACCGAAAAATTTGTGTTTTACCAATGGAAATTTGGCAACGCCTGAAGGTTCATAAGGCGCTCTTCCTCAGCACAGCAGAACTGTAGCCTGCGATGAAACAATATGGATGCTCGGTTTACACCCAGCTAACGTATAAATTCATCCTCCGTCCATGCCGATCTTTCGAGGGATGCTGATATTCCTTGCGGCAGCACCGGGAAGTGCAAACGAAAAGCGCAAAAAACGCGGGGTCAGACCTTGGTGAACCAGGGCAGAGAAAGGGGAACAGGGGACGAAGGGGGGGCAGGGGAGGCGGTCGAGCCAAGTAATCAATTGCTTGTGCTCACAGGAGAATAATATCCCTTCTTTCTCGATCTTGTTCTCGTCCCACCATCCTGGGTGCAATTCCTTCCTCTCTTGGCGACCTTCTAGAAACCCTTCCACGGCCCACCCCCTCATCGACCGGGGTGCTTTCCCTTTTCAAAACGATAGTGTTGGGGACCCCGAAATTTAGGGGAGCTCCACGGATTTATCTGAGAAATTCTGGACAGAGTTCAGGAATTTGTACCCATTATGTGACGTCAGGAATGAGGGTGAGACCTATATATCTCTCTGCGGAGGCAGATGTGATTGGGGGGGGGGGGATTCAACCCTGCGACCAAGGTTGCGGATGCAGGGTTGTTTGATTGTTACGAACAGTGGCGTGGCGGGCTTTGCGATATATCGGTTGATCTGCCATTTAAACCTATGGAAAAGGATCGATATATACCGGGTGTTCGCAAAAAACACCTTAACAATCGATTCTTCACCGTAGCTTTAAATGGGGAAATATCGATAATCGATCAGTCACGCCTCGCCGCTGGTTACAAAACTGTTTGCAACTAATGCTTGATGAAGGAGCAATTGACTTTATAAAAACTTATTTTTTTAAACAATTAAGAATGTACAAAACTATAGAATCTGAATAAAAATTTCAATTGAATAAGGTAAAGTGAAAACTTTTTCAACGCTTTCTCAGCTTTCTTTTCTAGACCTCTAACACTACTATAGGCAGAGTAGAAAAATGCATCAGTGATGTAATGTCTGCATATCTCCGATTTTATTTTTCAAAGGAAAACCAACGAAAAATTTTCTGTGAATATTTCTGAGTGGACGATGAAAATTCACAGGAAGTTCATGGAAAATTGTCAGCTAATTAAAAAAAAGGAAAAGAAAATTCGTCTGAAGACTAGCAACATGACAATCGCTTACACGCATTTTCTGACGGTAGACATAGATTGATTAGATAAGAGTAGATTTAAGTACAGAGAGAGTAAGGACAACTCGAAAATTTGGAGGTTAGGTTTGATCAGGTCATGTTGGGTCATGTAGCTCTTGGGGCGCATAAGGGCTGCCAACCTATGAACTCGAATTATCCAGTGGTACTAATTTTCATAATTCTTACTACCCGTCGTTTTATAACTGATCAAAAGTTATAAAAGCATGTAAAAACCTTGATTTCGCATAAGTTTTCTCAGTTTCAAAGTCCTTAAAGACGCTTAAAGTCCTTAGTCCTTAAGTCCTTAAAGACGCCAAAGTCCTTAAAGACGCCTGTTCTTAATGCGCTATCGTCCGTATTATTGATTAATCTTTCAAATGCATAGGTTGGCAGCGGCAATTTTGTTGTGATTTTCGTTTTATATGTTGTCGCCCTTTTGGGCCCCAAGAGCTACATAAATCGAGTTGTCCACACTCTCCCTATATAGGTACTCTAGATTAGATTAGGCAGGTTTTGATGTTTTTGTTCTGTTTTATTATTGATTTGAAACGATCTATAGCTATATGAAATTTAAGAAAGAGACGAAAAGGTTTAAATCACTCACCAAGACTCCCGCCCTGTCCGCTACGGAATCCTTGTCCACGCCTGTTACAAAAATACCTAGATTGTATTCAACTCCTCCACGAATCATCAGACCAAGGCTTTGACCGGGCTCGATAATTAATTCAACCTAAAATTATAAAATAAATATTGATTCGTCGCTCCTTCAAATCGTGACTGTGTTCAACTAAAGAAGAGGTAAAAAAGAGAGAGAGAAAGAGCAGACAAAAATGAAAGAGGAAGATGGAATGAGATGAATAATAACACTATGTCTTGGTGAAAATGGAGGTGTTAAGCCAGTAGTATTTGCCTATGAAACAAGTTTAAATCACAAATCTCAGTGATTTTAGGATTCGACCTTAATGATTTTAAAGATTTGGCCTCAGTGCTCCCAGTGTTTGGGATGAGTGTTATAAATGTGTTCCAAAGGCAAGTGCTACTGACCGGACACTTGCCCCTTTTAATAGGGAGGTTACGTCACAAATTGGTCAAACAAAGTTTGTATTGAATTCCCTTCCGATAAGTACCTTTCATGGTCCAGCGGTAGTTAAATGACACGAAAAAATCAATAAAATCTACACACATTACTCTTAATTTTGTCCTCCAATACTTCATCGTTTCATCTCTCACAGAGGTTTTTCTTAAATCTGGGCATTAACAAAGATGGCAATTCAACCTGAAAATTTTCAATCATTCTCTGTATATACTATGGATGATCTTTATGCATGTACAGCTTTTTTGACACTGAGCAGACGCTATCGTCATTAAAAAGGTTATCAAAATATGACACTTCAAGGACCCATTTGCTTCTGTTTATCTTAGAAGAATCCAGATGTGCTTAAAGAAAAGGGCTCACCCAAAAATCCCTAAATTTAAGCGTTCTGGTATTTGTAACTTTTTCAAAATTTCACGTAGAATACTATTTGCGCAACGAAACTAACAAAAATTGACAACTGAACAAGATACGGACATTACTACTTAGCACTAGTTACGATGAAATTTGAAGTTCCCGCTGATAAAAAACCCTGTAGACACTCCGATGATGACCAACAAGTCGGAAAGCCTCAAGAAATTATTCACACTGGAAAAAAAAACACATTGGATCTAGAGTCCAGACTCTTAAAAACATCGACATGAAAAAGAACTCTTGATTCAATCAGAATCCAGCTTAGATCGAGAACCAAGCCTCTTAATTTAAGCGGATTTCGTTTTGATTCAAGCAAAAATCCGATTGAATCAAGAGTATTTTTTCTTGTCAATGTTTTTAAGAGTCTGGACTCTAGATCCAATGTGTTTTTTTTCCAGTGTACTACGAAAGAATACTGCAGGTTCTGAGACCTGAAGTTTCATTTAAAATAATTATTTTATAATGTCTTACAATTCCATACGAACTTACCTTTCTAATCTTATCCTTATGAGGTCGAGGGTAAAATTTCTGATGACTTGGCTGAACTGGTGTCTGATATTCCGGAGGCGGCGAGCAAGGCCTGCCTTGTCGATCCATCCAAGAATAACTTTGTCTAAGTAAAAATAATCCACCTTGATTGCTTCCTAATGAATTTTGTACTGGCGTGTTCGGACTTCGCACGGTCATACTCAGGTGTCTACTCGATTTCAACATCTGCCAACAAAAACATTGTTCTGATAAATTTCAACAAGTGACAAACATTTCAGAACAATTACACCCACGAGATTTTCAATCAATCTGAATATCGACGATCGAAGTGAAACAGCACGTATCTCTATTGCAGTGTTTTACAATTTTTGATCCAGTTTCATTTTCTCGAAAGAAAAATAAGCCATCTTTCTAGCTTAAAATTCACACAGAATGTTCTGCTACTGGAGAAGAAATATCCAGGCACTTTTCAACAAAAAAAAAGTTGACTATAGTTTTCTAAAATAAAAAAGTATGATTGGAAGTCTGTAATATCGATAACAGAGGTACGTGGTATCGTACTTTATAGTCATCGATGTATTGAGAAGAAGGGATGGACATATTGAAGATACCCAAAGGAAAAGGTGTTGAAGAAGAGTTTGAAGTAAACTTTGACGCCAATAGTTTAACTTTAGGATTCTTTACATTCATGGGCTTGATCGAAAAAAATACCGAAACATTTTCCCAAAATGTATGCGCCAGAAAAGGAGACCCAGTTGGCGAGAGAAGGCGGCGAAAGAGAGAAAGAAATATGTAGTCGATGAATTCATATTGAAAGACGCCCGGCCACATTGGCTATTTACACCTTATTTGTGTAATACAGTTGTATTGTAAATGAATGTGAGAGAGAGAAAAACGGAAAGGAACTTTTGAAATGCACTTCAATTTTGAGAATAGGCTCAGTAGGCTACACACGTTCATTCATATTCAGACACGTAGTCAGAATTCTGTTTCCGAGGCTTCTGCGGCAGGGTGAAGCGGATCCGGGGGAGGAATCCTTTTTCTCCTATACTGTTTTTTCTTTCTTCACTTGGTGGGGGGAGGGGGCTTGAGCCCCCCAAAAGAGCCCCTACTGGCAACGCAGCGGTTTTGATTAAATCTGATTAAGGAATCAAGCTCTAGTAACTATGCAGCTATCTCCTAAGAAATGACGTTTTCTAGTTTAAAAATCACACAAAGCCTAATTGCGCGAACCTCCTCGTGCCTTTTTTATGTCTAAAGAATTAGACATAAAATTAAATAAAAATCGAGTATCAACAAAGCCGAAGTTAGGAGAAATGTGTTTGGGCCTCGTTTTTTAAACTTTTCCCCGCATCTGAGCGACACTTCTTTGGCAACATAGAGCGGAGCATTGCGAGTCCACGCCTCGCGCCAAAGCGCCTTCAATTTTGCAGACGCAGCACGGACATCCATCGAGCACGAATAGTTGTATCTCTGCGCCGTCATCATCACTCGTTGAGGTTTCTCTTATTTGTGAAAGTTGAGGTTTAGTTTGCTCACAATATGCTATGGTGTATCAAAATCACAAACTTTTTTATTTATTTTTTTGTCTTTTTCAATTTTTTTTTTTAAAATATTTAGAGGTCACTCCGGCACTCTAAAAAGCGCAAGTCTACAGACTGGAATTTTGGTGAGAGTTGTATCGTGTCAGGGAACTTTTTTTGTTTTGACGACTACCCCTAGAAATCCCAAGTTGAGTCAAATTGGCCCGATTTTCCAATTCATAATTGAGCTTTCAAAGCTCTTGTTTGGTTTTAAACAATCTAAACATATACTGCTTAAAACTGAAACTTACGAGTCTTAGAATTTAAGAGATCCGTGGTAGTATTAGAGTGATCATTATGATTTCGGAACCAGAATTTAGCAGTGCAAAAATGTGATTTTTTTTTGGAACTAGCGCTGAAGAATCACCTTACGGTTTTGCTTATCGTTCAACAATATAAATTATAAATACAATGCTAGTTACATAACGAGTGATTATCTTATGGGGATTAGCTACTAAAACTTTAATCTGCCACGTTTAAGGCACGAAATCATCGGACTGAAATGTGACTTCACAACCTCCGTTCAGACAAAAATTAACCAAGCCGCTCGCAACTTATCTTCAGCTCTTCAGAAAAGTAGAGAAAGTTTTGCGTCGAAATCTCGGGTCCGATTCCTCGCCAAAAATAGCAAGGTATATTGAAAAGTTGGCTCCATAGATGAAGGTCCTTTTTCTCTCGGACGATCGGTTATTCAAACAACTCTTCCAGCCAGCGGCGCGGCGTGAATGATCGATTTATCGATGATTCCCCATTCGAAGTTACGGTAAAGAATCGATTATTAGGGCGTTTGTTGCGAGCATCCTGCTTATCGATCCTTTTCCATATTTTCAAACGGCAGATCAATCGATTAATCGTAAAGCACGCCACGCCACTGTTCCCGGCGATTCCAAAGCACGAGGAGGAAAATTCAACCCCCGAATCGCGCTCATAGCACCCACGAGGAAACGTTTCTGGGATGCCAATCAACTTCGTTTCGGAGAATGGCTTTAATCTGCGGCTATTTTTGGATGTATTGTCCGAGGGAGAAGAGGAATGGGATACACGAAGGACTGGAAATTGAACGCCCACTGCACGGAAAAGAAGGATATAGTCGTCACAACCAACGGCTGGTTAAATATGAGCCGGCTACCGTGCGGTAGTTTCGATATATACAGCGGTAGAGGACACAACTAACCCGGTATAGTTACAACAACTACCATGGTGGCTACTGGTTGTGACGATTATCCAATTTTTTCTGTGTAGAAGCAATAAATGCAGTCATCATGGGGACCGCAGCGCCAAACTCCTAGATTTTCTTATAAACCGTATTCGATAACGGTTCGATGTATCGTTTGGTTCAAGACAATGGAACGTAACCTCAAACCAAACTAAAAGGATTTAAGTTGGAAAAGCTGAAAATGAGAAAATTCCTAAAAATTTCACATTACGTTGGCATTTGGTACGCAAAAAAATAAAAAATCTGCTACAAAAGACCCGTTCCCTCAGATTTCTGAATTTACTTTTGAGGCTTCCCGGGTTCGAATCCCGGTGGTGGCGACAAATTTTCATGGAACTGACGAGTGGATCTGTAAGCAGAATTCGCTCGGCCTTAATCCGTGAAAATTTGTAAGCCCGAGCATGGACGTCTACCAAACTCCCTGATGTCTTCGGACAATAAATAGTGCCTATAGATGGCTGTAGATTCCTAAAGGAATAGAAGCCACTAAACTCTCAATAAANAAAAAAAAAAAAAAAAAAAAAAAAAAAAAAAAAAAAAAAAAAAAAAAACACTTTCGAGGCTATGTTTATGTTTTGAACCAATCGATATCGATTGATGTATTGATGATGACACCCGTTTGATGTATCGAATACGATATATTCAATGTATTCACGGTGACACTCGTACACTGCTGTGCTAAGGAAGGACGCCGTGTGAACATTCTAGAGTTGCCAAATTTCCCTGGATAAAACATGTATTTTTCACAACATTCATGCATATTCTTCCTTGAAATTTTCAGATATTTCAGATTAAATTGCGTACAGAATTGTATGAAAATTTTGGAAAATGATTTTAACAATTTTCCCAATAAATTCGGTTTTTATCGAAGGAGACTTGGTGACGTCTGAAGGCTCATACGGCGTTCTTCCTAAGCACGGCAGTGCAGGTTTCGCAACAAATGAATAGAAAAGTTGTAAAAACTTTAGAATTTTACATAATTTTGTCAATAGGTAGGATAGTGCCGCCCTTTTTGTAGTTTTCCCGTCAGAAGCCCACACTTACTTAAATCAAGTCAAGTTAGGTAGCGAAATGGTAAACGCTAATGCACAAACTATACGAGTGCATAGCCCGAAAATAAAAACGATACAGGATAAAAGTGGGGGGAAGCGTCAAACAAGTCCAAGATATTAGATTGTTGTTGAGGCAGAAAGTTTTGAACCGTCACGGGCTCATTTTCAGCTACAAACACCATCGAAATTGGTAAAATATTGAGTGATATCAGTTGTTATCATGCATCCACTATTATCTCTCCGACTAAAATTGAGCCTGTGGTGGCTCAAAACGTCGTGTTTTTTTTGACGTTCCAATGTTTTTTTCTAGTTTTATACCCTTTCATAACTATGTTCTATCGTATTTGAAGTGGTATAGATTGGGTCAAGTTTGTTGAATAAAACAAATAAGATATCACCGTGCAGGGCCGGATTAAGGGGTTGGCCACATAGGCCGCGGCCTATGGCGGCAAAATGTAGAGGGCGGCAAATTTTGCAATCTTTTTGAAAGTAGTTATCAAAAAAAAGAAGAAAAAATCGGATTCAGAAAATAAATTACAAACGAGAAAAATCGACAAAATCTCTCATTTCCTCAAAGTAAAAGTAAAGGAATTTCTAATTTTGCCGTCTTTCGGTGATACAAAAGACAACACCTTTTATTAGTCGAGTTAACTGAGAAACCAAACACGCAATCTGAACTTGAGCGGAGCGGCGCAGAGAGCAATGATGACGAGGACTGAGATGAAAAGGAGAAGCCATTGACGCGGCGCTCGGCATGAAACGCATAGCGCCTACAAGACTGCATGAATACTTCACGCATTGCGCCAAACACAGTGCGGTCGGCGCAGCGGTGAAAGTTCAAATTATTAAACCACATTTATGTTTATTCTTTTACATTTTTTTCGTTCGTTTGTTATAAATAGAAGGCCTTGTCCAAACAGGGATGGGTTTACGGAACTTTTTCCTCGTAAAATTCCGTGAACTTTTGTTAGTGTTGACAGAGCTTCCACAAAAAATGTGCCCAACACGAGTAAACGCGTCTCATTCACCCATACCCCACCGGTACGTTCACTTAACGAATGAGAAGGGGGCGGAAAAATACAGACGGCCCATGGGCGGCAAGTAGGTAAATCCGGCCCTGCCGTAGAGCATTAGTAAAACTTTGACATCAACATTTTTGAAAGCTTTCCTGAAATCCCTAAGAAGGACCAGGAAAGAGCGCTGAGAAGTCCTTGAAACGTAAGACCTGTGTTCGTTGCCAACGAATGCTCATTTTCAAGGATCATAGCATCATAATTATTCCCGACACCAGCCCTATAAGCTGTCTAGGTGACAAGGTAAGCCACCGGCAGAGGAAAATGTCCTCACGTAATGAGTCGCAGCCGGAGCGGCGAATGCTTTTTACCTCTAACCTATGTATTACGTGACGCTATCAGAGAATAAAAGCTTTGATGACCGCTGAACACGGATTGATGCTTCAAAGGCATTACAGTGTGATAAAGAGCGAGTGCGATTTTGAGGGCGGACTGACGGAGGCGCCATCATAATGGCACCGAGATGACACCAGGATTACACTAGCTATTGCGCCCTAAAAAAAAACACTCGCAACCTTGACCAAAATATGGATAAAACACTTTTATTTTTCTCCCCATTTCCAACACATCTTAGATATAGACGATACGTGACATCTTTTTATTTGTTGTGCAGATCCTCGGTCTGACTTCACGTGAAACCCTAACAATAAGCTTAAAAGTTACGAATTTTGAGAAGCACATTTTAGCTAGAAATACCCTAAAAATTTGACCCGGGAACCCTAAATTTTATTTCGGCTGAAAAAATATCCAAAGTCCGAAACTGTGACGCATCTCCAACACATCTTAGATAGAGACGATATATATGACGTCTTTTGCGCCCTAAAAAAAAAAAAACACTCGCAACCTTAACCAAAATCTTGGATAAAACACTTTTATCTTTTCCCCCTATCTCCAACACATCTTAGATAGAGACGGTACATGACATCGTTTTATTTGTTGTGCAGATCCTCGGACTGACTTCATGTGAAACCCTGACAATAAGCTAAAAAGTTATGAATTTTGAGAAGCACATTTTAGCTAGAAATACCCTGAAAATTTGACCCGAAAACCCTCAATTTTATTACGGCTGAAAAAATATCCAATTTCAAAACTGTGAATGTGAGATTCCGCCACATTTCGCATTCGCAAACTTTCAGTTTCATGGCGAGTCCCGTGCAGATCCTCGGTCTGACTTCATGTGAAACCCTGACAATAAGCTAAAAAGTTATGAATTTTGAGAAGCACATTTTAGCTAGAAATACCCTGAAAATTTGACCCGAAAACCCTCAATTTTATTACGGCTGAAAAAATATCCAATTTCAAAACTGTGAATGTGAGATTCCGCCACATTTCGCATTCGCAAACTTTCAGTTTCATGGCGAGTCCCGTGCAGATCCTCGGTCTGATTTCACGTGAAACCCTAACAATAAGCTAAAAAGTTACGAACTTTGAGAAGCACATTTAGCTAGAAATACCTACTCTATAAAATATTGACTCGGAAACCCTCAATTTTATTACGACTAAAAAAATATCCAAATGCTGAAACTTTGAATGCGAGATTCCGCCACATTTTGCATTCGCAAACTTTCAGTTTTTTGGCGAGTCCCCATCTTTTTAGTTTGCTTCGCCAACACACAGTTTATGATCAGAAAAACAGATACTGGTGGAGGGCTGGAAGCTAAACGAATGACACTTTATTTCATTATTTTCAAAGTTTAATAGATAGAACATGGCAATAGAAGCTATAAAGTAAACACTACTCGAAAAAAATAATACCTGATCTGTTTTAAGCATGTGCAATTAAGCACGATGGACTTTTTACGAAAGATTTTACTTGGATTTCATGTTGTCAGAAACAAGATCAAACTTTTACATTGTCCCTTTGATTATAATAGTCTATTTTCAAGTGATCCACCCTATTTGAGCAGATTAAAAATAAGTATTTTCTATGTGCGAAGTGGTGTAAAGAACACATGATTTTTTCTTCAATCGACCTGTCATAAATGAAGTATTTTAGGACGCAGTTAAAATTGAGAAAGCAGCAGAAATATGGTTCGCTGAAGCCACGTAAGAAGCATTTATTTACGCTACACAATTTAGGCTTAGCTTGCGTGTTTTGCATGTTTGATTAGAATGACAACTTATGAAATGGCATCAAAAATAGCTTTAATACCAGCGCTGTTCAGCAGATTCTAAACTGCACGATACCACACTTAAAATTATACCAGGTGCTATAATCTTTAAAAAAACAAGAATATTTGGTGTAATTGTTCGTCATATTTTGTTATACAGCAATAAGTACAGCACCAGAATGTTCAATGAGTAGCCAGAGAAGAAGCGCCGAACGATACATTACATCATTATCCTTGATTAGTTGAAAAATTTTATCAACTGGGCTCAATATTTCATGCAAATCAAAATGCGTCAGCGATATTTGCGAGATCAAGCCTCCTTGTGAAAAGCCTCCGATCATTAGCAACCACAACTTACAGGACAAAAGAAACGATTGAAAATCAAAGGAGCCTCTTCAGAACCAGCGAAAAATTTGCAAATTGCGGAGGAACAAATGAAAAACTGAAAATAAAGAGGAAGCACGCTGACTGCAGAATGCTATTTAGCGGGAATGTAGTTTCTAAAATTTCACCTGATCAGAAAGTAATACACACCTCAGCAATTTTCGCTTTGAGACTCTCCGAATTGCGAGGTTTTGAAGCGTAACCTGAATCGTCCACGTACTCCTAAAAAAGAAAACACAGTTTGTTCAACGGAAAGGCATCATCTGTACGAAGGAGCTCGTGCAACAGAGGTTCGGGAAGGGTTAAACAATCGTTTGATATCCTTTCAAGATGCGAGGTGAAGTGCCTTGAGGGTTTCAAACCACACACTCATAAGCCGGGGTGATTTCCGATGTGCTGGAGGGGATGAATCAGGAGACAAAAACTCGAAGAAAATTATTATGTACATCCCTCCTGAATGCTCTGAATTCGCTACGTTGAACCAAAACATGCATTTCTAGTGTGACACCATTCAGGATCCAGGCTACAATTCCTAAGCGGCTATGACGATAATGCAGAGTTTTCTACTTCGTAGGAACCCGGAAATATATTCATCGACTTCTTAGTTCCGTTGCAAATTCTACGACGATTGAAAAAAAGAGAGGTAAAAACAAACAAAAAAACAACTTCGAAAGGAACGGTACTTGTGGGAGGGCAACACACACAATCATGCTCTTACAGATGCATACCTTTATCAACAAAACAAATGTTCTTACACATAAATTTTTGCATAAATACCTGCCAGCTCCACTCCACCCATCTTTCTCGAAAGAGTATCTATAGGGGCCATTTTTGGGTCCACTAGCTGAGTTTTCTCAACTTGACGATTTTTGCGCATTGAAGGTCTAAACTTTACGAAATGCTTCATGTTTTAGTCGTTTTCGGTCTCTTTTTAGGTCTGAACTGCTATAAACTGGCAAAAAAAGGGGATTTTTTGGCATTCAACAAATCCATGTTGAAGCCAGTATTAGGTTCAGAAAGAGACCGAAAACGACCAAATCATGATGTGTTCCGAAATATGTGGACCCTCAATGAGCAAAACATTGTAGAATTCAGAAAATTCAGGATGGGCCCAAAAACCAGTGCTAATCGATACTCCTCCTTCCAGCTATTACTTCCAATTATTTTAGATTTAAAAATAAAAAAAAAAAAAACTTTCTTTCAATTTTTTCAACTGATTGAAAATTGCAAATAGGTTCATATCATGTTTCGTATGAGAATTTTACTGAAATGAAGAACAACACCGGTTACTAGCATGTTTTCATGCCCAATAACGTAGAGCCCCCCCACCCATATTAAAATGTTGATTTGTCTCCTCTGTACGATTTCGATTGGCTAAATTCACTTGTGACGTACTCTGAAATTGCTAATTGAAAACGTTTCTTCAACGTACTGTTTCTACAAATACCTGACGTGCTACAGCCTGATGTATTGCTCGGTAATCTCAAAGAGTGTCCTAAAATTAGGAACTATCAATTCATCGATCTGTCATCGAATTTTTCTCCTTAAGGCGGAAAAACGGCCTTAAAAGGATATGAATTTTAATTCCTCTGTATGTAAAGAGGACAAAATGATCTAAAAAACGATTGAAGTCATAAGTGAGAAAGAATGATAACAGTTTGCAGTTTTATCCAGGTTCCTTCCACATCCTTACACCTCTCGGGAAAACTGACTGAGGGCGACTAGGGAAAAAAGTACCCACGGACATGAAAATTTGAAAATTCAGAGTACGAATTTTGGCGAATTGTGCGTTTCGAAGTATACTTTAGGCGGTTGGAATGTGCTCAACGTAATTTGGGTTCAACTGTATCCACCCACAGTGGACTCCTACTCAGTCCTGTTGGCTAGACCTCTTGTGTGTAATAGGTGATAGATCCATTTCAGTCAAATCGTCGCTTGGCTGGCACAAGGGCGTAACTACACTTACAGATGATCCCGGAATAGCATTGAGTTGTATACTCTGCCGTGCTAAGGAATAACGCCGTATGAACATTCGGGAGTTGTCAAATTTCCCTTGAAATAACATGTAATTTTGATAACATTCTTGCATATTTTCCTTTGAAACTTTCAGATATTTTGGATTAAATAGCGCACAAAATTGTCTGACAATTTTAAAAAATAATATTCACCAGTGGCGTGGCGTGAATGATCGATTGTCGATATTTTCTCATTTGTAGGTATGGTAAAGAATCGATTATTAAGGTGTTCGCTGCGAACACCCTGTGTATCGATCCTTTCCCATAGGTTTAAATGGCGAATCAATCGATATATCGCAAAGCACGCCACGCCACTGATATTCACAATTTCCCGGTAAGCCCTGTTTTCATCGGAGGAAACTTGGCAACGTCTGACGGCTCGTACGGCGTTCTTCCTTAGCACGGCAGTATTGACCACAGGGTTCATCGCAAAGTGTAGTTAAGCCTACGAGTTGGGAGGGCGACGAAATGAAGTAGGGATGCTGACGGCACATGCATGGGATTGTGGCATTATGGAATGCCGCTCGCGATTTCGGGAGAAGAGCAGTGCTTGACAGGATCAATGGAAGCTTGACCATAGGTGAGCTAATCCACGTCACTTGAGGCCAACTTCACATCAGTTGGACAACGGGCATTAGGGTCCGATGACCCCCTAAAAATGCATATCGACAGTGAAACGGTGTCTCGGTTTGCGACGTGGTAGACTTTCTGTCATAATTTATTTTTTGTGACTATGTTTATGTTTTAAAAAGTTATAGAAACTCTGATGATGGCGTCAGCCGAAATAATTCTTAGTAATTAACAGGTTCTAACCACAACACCTTGGTTCTTATTCACCTACATTACTTCAAACAGAGTGTCTACTAAGACAGGCTGGCCAAAAATCAGTACTTTTACAGTACTTTTTCAGGACATTCCCAAAAAATTAGTACCTCCTCATCAGAAAAATTCAGAACTTTTTCAGTACCTCCATTTGACGAGATTTGAAAAATTTCGAAAATTTGAATTTCTCGCTTCAATTGCGACAAAAATGCCAAAAAAATGAAACAAAATTCCGGATTTCTTGCAAAATTTCCGCACTTTTTCAGTACTTTCGGAAAGCCCGTAAAAAATCGGTACTATTTCCGGACTTTCCAGAAATTTCGGTCTTGTAGACACCTTGCTTCAAACAATGTTGCTAGTGAAATCAACACCTGCAAATCTTTCCCGCAGCCACAACGAGTTTGTCGTTTTGTACATGAACAATGAACATGATTTACACCCAAAATATGGTATGTTTATCCTCTATGAATGAGATTTCTAATAATATCATTGAACAATTTTTTTAAACTATTGTTTAAAAAAGCAGATACAGCCAATTGGTATGTACGAGGGGCGTTCAATAAGTAAGTATCCCCCCTCTCTAAAATCAATAGGAATGAACCAATTTTAAAAAAACTTGGGTTCAAAATCTTCCTTAGGATATACTGAGTTCAACAAAACAAACCGCAACAAAATCGGACCATGTGCGGCCGAACGCGACCCGTTTGAACGCGCCGAGGTGCGCGCCGCTCCCGCCGAATCCGCGGAGATTTGAAGTCCGCGACAAAAGAAGAGCTTCTTTGCCAACGCTTCAGTCGTTCATCACTGACGAAAAATCAAAGAAGTTTTTGTAGAATAAGGGGCTTACCTCACCTCCCTACATAACCAGCTCGATCCAAGCAGGTCTGATACTGATTGTGAGACTAAGAGAACAGCTTTTGGATACCACGCGTATAGAAGTCTTTCAACTGGCTGGGGATGAAAGTGTTGACGGCTTGTTTGACCTCTTCCACCGATTCAAAATGAACTCCCCCGAGTTCAGATTTTAGATACGGTAATAAATGGCAAAACAGACCACTATTCCGTTTCTGGAATCTAAACTCGGGGGAGTTCATTTTGAATCAGTGGAAGAGATCAAACAAGCCGTCAACACTTTCATCCCCAACCAGTTGAAAGATTTCTACACGCGTGGTGTCCAAAAACTGTTCTCTTAGTCTCACAATCAGTTTCAGACCTGCTTGGATCGAGCTGGTTATGTGGAGAGGTGAGGTAAGCCCCTTATTCTGCAAAAACTTCTTTGATTTTTCGTCAGTGATGAACGACTGAAGCGTTGGCAGAGAAGCTCTTCTTTTGTCGCGGACTTCAAATCTCCGCGGATTCGGCGGGAGCGGCGCGCACCTCGGCGCGTTCAAACGGCTCGCGTTCGGCCGCAAATGGTCCGATTTTGTTGCGGTTTGTTTTGTTGAACTCAATATATTCTAAGGAAGATTTTGAACCCAAGTTTTTTAAAATTGGTTCACTCCTATTGATTTTAGAGAGGAGGGATACTTACTTATTGAACGCCCCTTGTAGAAATATTTTTGCACTATTGCACTCTCTGATTATCATCTTCGTATTTTTGATTTTTAAGAAACTTCAAGACATGAGATTACCTTCACCTACAAAGTGAGGAGCATGCAGAACACTGAAAGAACAAACATTTATTCATAATACCGAGATCATGCGGGAAAAATTCAATTTGATCCGTGCAGGCTTTTACATCATTCGATGCGACACTGCACATGTTAAAAATTATATCGGCGGTGAGACTTCCAAACCACTTATATCGTTTGCGGTGTTTACGATCTGATGCCGCAATCACACGCTGAATTTAGCAGCTGAATGTGGAAGTCAACAGTCATCGCCCAACGGCTGAAATTTCGCAAATTCGAGTTATTTTCATCCAGATGTGTATCAAATCTACTCGAATAGTTCAAACAAATCCAACATAAGTCCGATGGTTGCTGAGAATCGCGTTGCTGAATTTTGCGCGTCACGCGCAAAATTCAGGCATTGGGCCGATGACTTCCACATTCAAGCCACATTCAGCTCCCGCATTCAGCGTGTGATTGCGGCATCATCTCCCATTTTGTTTTTTCACAGGAGAACAAACCAACATTATTTCTTGAAGTGATCATAGAATTTTCTTCACATTGAGCAGAAAAATCGTGATTTTTATGTACTTTTCCATGGGGGTTTTTCCCAGTTGACGTTTAGAAGTTGACTATTTAAAAAATAAAAAATGGCATGAAGTCTGCAACGTTGCAAACCGAAATACGCGGTTTGGGATTCCACCGTCGATATGCCTTTCATGACCGTCATCACGTTTGAAATACTCTCTGAGCCATCTTATGCGCTTTAACCCCA